GACCGGGCTAGAATTGTGGCATTTTTCGCCAGCTTTCCAACGAGACCAAGCACGACCCTCTAGCTCTTACCGTTTTCGAGAAAATCGCATTTTAAGATTTTCGAACTTTGGCCCTTTCCTCGAAACTCGCCGCGTCGATTTCTGGGAGACTCGTGAAAAAGTCTTCTACTAACCGAGAGCTATCACCCTATCTAGTCAGTTTTCCAAAACAGATCGTAGCCGGGATCGCCATGTTATTCGGCTGTACCCTTTCTCTGTCCAAGTTCCAGAGAGGCTCGAGGGATCAAAACAAGGTCCTCGCCCTGAAGCGTGAGGCAACAGGTTCTTCAAAAGAATACCCGTGTGGAGACTCATGGAATACGATTCCCTCGCATTTATTTCAACAACGCACGATGTTGGAACGACAAGGGGATACATCACTCCCATCTTGAGCGAACCTATCACTCATCATCATCATCGTCTCTACGCTTTCTGCAAACGCCAATAGAAATTCCGAGACGAGTCACTTTCACACAAATACCGTTGTTCTGCCTCCTGAGTATGCTTGTCTGGAATAAATTCAAATCGGGACTCGGTGAGATGACCGCAATGAGGTATCAGGGCGCTGATTCCCGTCTGACCAGCGTCATTATAGGAAGGGTTGATAACATTACTCAAACGTTATCTACGTTTCCCTTTCCCCGTGTCTCCAAGCAAACACCATATAAAGGAAATACCCTTCCAAATACCTTGCATGGCTCGTTCTCACGAATGGTGGTGAAGATCGGCAAGCGACCGATCTTGAACGCTCTCGAGCAAGTCTCCAAGCAGCCTACTCGAGTGACGAGTTTGCCTTTACCGTCGCAAACTTGTCTCGTTATAATCTCAGTGGTGGCCTCGGACGTGACGTCGTATCCCGATTCGGTTGTCGCATTTCTTTCTGAAGGAAGCGTTCCCTTAACTCGTTTGTAGAATCGGATGCTAGACGCAGGATGGACATTCCTACCCAGCTATCCGTTGTCCACTATAATCCGAACTCTGTCTGTCATACCCTGAGCCAGAGCGAGGCCGACACTCAGCACAAGAATGAGAAATTTCATGTTTGCGGTATATTCGGAGAACTCCGCGAGAGACGGGCGGAGCTGGTGCTTAAGTAGACTTCGGGAGGGCATCAATACCATTGTGTGTCAGAAAAAGAGAGTGACAAGTACTGTCTCAACTCAATCCTTCTGGACTCGAGAATTTTCAATTCTGCTTCGGAATCATGTGCCTTTCACCGTTATGTTCTGACGCAGCCACGAATTGTGTTATATGTATACGGAAGCGGGGAACTTCCAATGGCGCTTCTGTTCTGAGTTTCAAGAACAGCCGATGGCAGTGTTATGACGTCGAGCGAGACACTGACGCAGATATGGTTCCATTCTGGCCTCTGCCGACTGGAATCCGCCGCAAATGGACCCCTCCGGAGCCCCTCCGCATGAAGAGCTGCAAACAGAGACGCTCCGATGGAGGCCTTCCACAATAATTCCTCTTCATCTCGCACAGCGCCCTGGCTCGCATACTCGTCGAGCAGTTCCAATCGCCCGAACCGATGACGTTTCGAAGACGGAGATTCCGAGTGGGTACCTCTGAGGAGACCCTCGCAAACGATGCCAAAACGTGGACCGAAGACGTGACAGCCCATCCACGGGGATCCGCCGCGGCTCTGATTGGGATATTATTCGGATTTAGCCTCCACTACGCGGCTTCTATCCTTCGTCAGAGAGAGGAGGAAATGCCGTACTAGCTTATCGAATAGGGACTCCCCGTATCGGAGCCGTTCTTCTCCGGGAAGCGGCAGCGGAAGCCAAATCGGTCCCAGAAAAATTCCCCAATCCATAATCGGGTGCAATCCGAGCACCATTAGAGGATGGCGCTCCACCGAATCCGTCGTGACGGAGAGTCACGTAGCTCGCCGAATTACGAAATCATTTCTACCGGCTGGCGAGGAGGGGCAATACGATCAATTCGACACTGATGTCGAGATCGAGCTCCGGGCAGATGGGATGAACCCACCGACCGGGTAGGTCAGTCGAAGCGCCCGCCATACCACAAGGCCCGAATCGACCCCAGAAGGTAGCTACACTTGATTCTGACTCTTCGGGGCAGGGATATCAAGGGCAACAAAATCCTTCCGTGACGTAGATTTCTCCCGAATCATGACGACCGCTCGGGGACCACTTCCCCCCTCCCCTCAAAGCGTTGAAATGTTAAGATCGAATCGAGGTAAGTCGCTCGTTCCCCTAACGAAGGACCTCACACAAGAATCTTTCGGCTATCTCGCCGGAGGATCTGAATACGTAGATGTATTCTTCGGGTTCATGCTTCAATTTTCATATTTCCCCCATGAACTTCAATCTATGAAGACTTCCGACCAATGGGTGAACAAGCTCCGTTTTATTAGAATTGTTACTCGTCGGCTCGGCAGATTCCGAAGTTTCTCCCGAAACGCTTGATCACAGCACAGGTTCCGTCGTTTTCTTCCAATCGTCGGCTGGTCTAAAATGGGAGGCGAGTTGAGTTTGGGAACAAGGTCCAATTTCTGTCGATCAGATGAGCATCGAGATCGCTCTGACATACCTTGCAGGGCTCACCCTCGTGGATCACGTTGAAGAGGAGCGCTCGGCCGATTTCGAATGGTCTCCTGCAGACCTCGGTGCAAGGCAAGCGAGCGATCAGCGTGCCTTCTCCTCGGCACACTTGCGTCTCAGTGTTGACATCATCGCCGGACTCTGTTCTGTTGTCGGCGTCAGTCTCCGCGGATTCGTTACTTCTCTCTGTAGGGTGTTATGTTATCAGACTCGAAAATGAAGATAGATCTCATTCAGTCTTCCAAGCGGGAATATCCAGAGGATTCGACCATTCGAGACTCACCTCGAGCCAGAACCAGGCCGACGCCCAGAAGCAGAATAAAGAACTTCATGTTCAGCAGACTTTCGAGAACTGTGCGAGTTTGACTTGACCCCGCCGCTTAAGTAGAACGGTCGAACCAGTGTCGCCATTGTGTGACAATCAGAGAACAATGACAGCAACGGGAAATCAGTGACGGTCATGTTGATCCAATATGGGACGTAGCTTCTATCGAATGCTCTCGAATCGACTTCCTGCGTCGGCCAAGCCCAAATTACAAACCTGAGTCCCAGAGGTGGTGTGTGCAGGTGACGAATGAACCAGAACCCCTCCCGCAATCCTGTCTAACGACGTGTGACGGTCAGGAGCTTGATTTTCTGTCCCCGAGGAATTGAACGCGAGCCCCAATGCGAGAATCATTACTGATCCTGTCTGCAGGATGCTACTTCACGGTCCGAACATCCTTCTCGAAGAATCTCCAGATCACGAGGCTGAAACCTGAAACGACATCTGTGGGGAGTGCAGCGAATCGAACGGTCGCGTGGCGACGTCTCAACTGAAGCTTATAGCCCCCGGACGTTGCGTCGTCAGTGTTTCTAGACTCGACCGCCACGACACAGTCATCGGAGCTCCCGATAATCGGGTATAATTACTTCAGCGTTACGTCCGCTGTGCTTGATGAATCTTCGGAAGACGTCCAGTGGATTGTCCGGAATTATATCGAAGGCATTGTCGAGGGAGTATGCAGACGATGGACATTGTGCTTCCCGATTTCCCAATTATCATCGTGATCGATGCTACGTGACTTTCCCTATTCGAGGGAGGAAACTTGACGGAGTACAGGTCAGAAACGATATTGCGGGGAAAGCTCTGGGTACAGTCGAGGTCGTCAAAGTCCAGAACAAACTCAAGTGGCAACGACGGAGGAGTCTCGCGAATCCCGGCTGGTCCCGAGAACCGTGGAATTTCACGATTGCCACTAAGAGTTTCGCTGACAGCGGGCATGCGTGAGCGATTCGAGTGACTGTAGGGCCACGCATGATGGTCTGCCGACGAGGCTACAAGGGATAAAGACAACATTGAGGATGTAGAACACCTCCGCGGAGCGTGGTGCAGCCACGGCAAACCTCGAGCCGAGGGGAAATGACGGTCCGACGCTTCCGTTAACCAGAAACGCAGACTTGGAATGCGTCATGTCCATCGAATAGCTCTGCTCGTGCCGGAGTTGGCCCACCAGCCGAGGGGAGAACAGTGAAAAAATCAGGATGTTTCAGGGTATCGGAGCTAGTCGGTCGAACTTGCTGATTGGAGCTCCCGAGCAGGGAATCTAATGGGTGCAATTGATTTTCTGCCAAATCTATAAGGAGCCGAGGAGGCACTCACGAGTTCCTCTCTCAGAGCGGATCATCGAACAACTACCTTTTCTCGCTTACTACTCGTGGCTCGCACATGCAAACATTCCGATCCCAGATAGATTGTCTCACACATTGGTGCTGATCCGAGATCCTGCGGAGCTTGTCCCGACCCTGTCCGACCTACGGAAGTCATCGCCGTCCGTGCTCATAAGCATTTTCCTTGATTCGATTAGGGGCTAAGCGCATCGACCTCTACCGAGTCCCAAGATATACCTCTCCTATATGATCGGAGGCAGGGAAAGCATCTTGTCTCTTGAGACATTCATTTACACATGTACATACATATGTATTGTGTACGCTCGTTGCGGGATCCGAGGAGGCCGAATTCGTATTTCGCATCAAGCTCACGGCGAGGAGCGGAACTATGCTTGAGGTCTTCTATGACCAAGGAGTGATCAAATTCTGCACCCCTCCACATGGGCGCCAACGGAGTTCTCTAAATCTTCCCAAGGAAATTGAGGAACGTACAAAGTCGGTTATTAGGAATTGATGTTATTCTCCCTTCATGATCTCAATTGGCTTCGCAAACTCCAAAGGCGTCAGAGCGAGAAGACACCACGCAGGTTCCATCATCCACTTCGGACTGACGGCTCATCTGCAAAGGGAATGGCTCATATTCCACCAGAACGCTCAGCGCACCGCACCAGCCGATGGGTAAGAACTGGACGACCCAATGTATTATATCACTTAGCCGACCTTGCAGGGACGTCCGACGGGGACGTGGGTGAAGATGGGCAGTTCCCCGAATTTGAAGGCTCTCCTGCAGGTCTCGGTGCAGCCAATGCGGAAGACGAGAGTGCCCCGACCGTCGCATTCCTGTCCGCCAGACGAGTCCGTGGTGACGTAGGTGGCTGTGGACTCAGTCCTGTCGTCAGTCGTAGCGTCGGTCGTGGCGTCGGTCGTGGCCGGGTAGGTTGTGCTGGTCTCTTTAGGAAGGATGAAGATAATCATCAAAGTTCTGAAGATGGCTGATTCCTCAGAATAAGCTCGTTCGGGTTCGTCCCGTAGTCTGAGCAACTCATACTTACCCTGAGCTACGACAAGGCCGACACTTAGGAGGAGAATGAAGAACTTCATGTTCGTGTTTTTTCCGCAGGTATTGTGGAGTCTGGGAAAAGATCACGATTTAAGTAGAATCCAGCTGGAGCTCCAAACAATTGTGGGCCGGAGAATAGAAGCGTCTGGCTTGGTGACAGCCGAGATTCCTGAACAATCGCGGCGACTCTCTCGACGACATACGCCGGCGAATCCTCTCGCGAAGAGGACTCGCTTGGATCCACGGCCATTCTGCGACATTTCGGTCGGAAGTCCCCTTCTGATGTTGTGAGAGAGGCGTGCTCCGGGAGGGCTCTGATTCATGCAGGAAGAGTTCTCCTTCGATGGACTCTCGCTGTTGGAATTTTCATATATTAACCTCACGGGCCCGGGACAGTTAAAGCACCTGAATCCCAAGGCGAGGCGACTGGAGAATCTGGACGCCTCTAACAAAACAGTTCTGGAAACGGACAGATCTCTGGAGATTTTTCCGGCAGAACTCCGGATTCGTCAGAATCAATAAAATCTCCTGGTTTGAGGGTGGGAAGAGTATGATCACTGACCGAGCTCGGGCTCGGAACGTTGGGGGGCATCGAGACTCTTTCTTCCGAATTCCCAACCTACACATCGGTTTCTCGCGCTCGGTCAAGAAGGAGGTTTTCGGGGGCTCCCATGCATTTTATGAGTCCAATGTTTATGAAACGGACTTCGATAAAGAGACGAAATCGTTTTTTGGAAGGTTGATTTTTTATTGATTCGACTGCAGAGAATGATTTTCTGCTCATTCGACGGGCACACACACGGCGATCTCTCTTCTGAATCTGTATCTGATCTCGCAGATTCCGTCGACATACCTGAATCCTCTGAAAGTCTGGAAGAATACGACAAGACCTGTTCAAGATTGTGATTCAGAGCATCGCCAAATCCCTAGACTTAGCATCAATCATGAGCTCACCTTGCACGGAGCGCCTTCGGCGACGACTTCGAAATAGGGGTTTTCGAAGAACCTGACCTTCTTCGCCAAGCAGCGCTCAACACAACCGCTACGACTGAGGAGCCTTCCTCGACCTTCACAGACCTCCCTCTCGGGAGTGGACGTGGTCGTTGGAGCTTCAGTGGTTTCTGTGACGAACCCGGTGGTGGTCTCACGAGTAAACATTCTTTTTTGAAAATGACAATCGCCTGGTTTGACATGCTTTTCTGAAAGTTTCCGAGCCCCGGAGCAACCCCGAGTCGTTTTTCCCTGCTGTCCTGCACTTCATACCCCTTTCCTGCAGGCTCCGAAACCCGGAAAAAACNCCATTTACATTGAAATCCGGGATATTTTTCTCGGATTGTGATGGAAATGTCATTTCCCCAGGTTCCGAAGCCCGGAAAGACCCATTCCCATTGATATCCGAGCAAAATATCCCGGATTTCGATGTAAATGGTGTTTTTTCCGGGTTTCGGAGCCTGCAGGGAAGGGGTATGAAATGCGGGACAGCAGGGAAAAACGACTCGGGGTTGCTACGGGGCTCGGAAACTTTCAGAAAAGCATGTCGAACCTGGTGATTGTCATTTTCAAAAAGAATGTTTACTTGTCAGTCACGGAGTCGGTGGTGGTCTCAGTCACGGAGTCGGTGGTGGTCTCGCTCACGGAGTCGGTGGTGGTCTCGGTGACGCGCTCGGTAGTGGTTTCAGCGGCGGGCTGCGTGGTGATTTCTGGTACGCGCTCGGTGGTGGTTTCAGCGGCGGGCTGCGTGGTGATTTCAGAGACGGCCGCAGTGGTCACTTCACGAACGGCCTCGCTGGAAGCATCGGTGACGGCTTCAGTCACGGCATCTGTGATGGCCTCTGTGATAGCCTCGGTTACGGCTCCAGTTGTGCTCTCAGCGCCGGCCCCTTTCGTGGTCACATCGATGGCTCTGGTCGCAGTCTCGGTCACTGCTTCAGAGATCGCCTCGGTGGTGACTTCGATCGCACTCACAGAGATGAGTTCGGTCACGGCTTCAGTGACAGCCTCCGAGACTGCTTCGCTGATGGCTTCAGAGACCGAAATCTCCCCTGACGCGGCAGTGGAATCGTCTAAAGATATCGAGTGATATCGTGAGATGATTGCGTCCTCGTTTCTGCTACGCCCCCTCCCCCCGAATGATATCAGGCGCGTATCCAGTCGTGAGATTCGTCCCTGGCTTACCCTGAGCCCAAACAAGACCGATGCTCAAGAGGAGGATGAAGAACTTCATGACTGCAGGCCGGTCCAGCGATTTGCCGCTCTTGGAGCGTATTCCACTTTATAAAGATTCAGATCGAGCGTCGGAGCCATTGTTATTCCCGCGAGAAAAGCGACGAATACGTAGACAGCACCGACACTTGCGCATCTCGGCACTGCCCTTGTCTCGAGATCGGAGCGCTTGCAGCGCGTGCATACATCACGGTGGCTCCGAGATGGATCTGACCCGGCGGAACATTACAGCAGGAACGTTATACGCCAATGAATTCCGTTCTCGAATAATCCCACAAGATCCTGAGTCCTGAGAGCGGTCTGAAGACAATCAAATCTTATCGCCGACAGGACACCATTGCCTCGTTCCGTCGGGAACCCCTCACGTGGATATCGAATTTGGATGGCGGGCGAAACTTTGACGCGTTATGCCTGACAGGTTTCCGCGACCACCTGAAGTAGCAGGCTGAAGACGCGGCTGGTTATGCGAGGCTCTTCACAAGACGTCATAGATTCGCGTGACGCGTTGCCGACTAAGCAAAACAAAGTCGATTCATGCGATGATGATGAGAGACGTCGATGATTTCTCGCCTGCGATAGCTCCCACCGGCGTCGAAGGCGAACATCGAGTTAGTATCATGACAAGGCTTCTCGGCGTATGCTTTGTGACCTGGGAATGAAACGTGAGAGAGACCCTTTCCGATTAGTATGCGACGGCTCTGATAATTTATTCAGATGTGCTGACGATCGAGAGGAAGGAGAGAGTTCCTGGAACGGAAGGTGTAGCTGATGTCTGTCTGATGAGCCCGTCCAATATCTCGAGGCTGGCTCGCATCGTAGAAGAAAATGGGTTGCCCCGTTCCTGATTATCTGCAAACACCCAACATCATGCACCCTCTCTTCGTCGCGAATCCTGACTGACGAGCTTAGCGGAGAAATCCAAGCAAATGACCGTATTCACTTTTCTCGGACACATGCGAGCCTTCAATTGTTTCGCGAACTTCTGCTGAATCTCGAGACCATCCAGGAGCACCGAGCGCTTCGACGGAGGAGCAATCAGAGATATTGACCAAAGGCACTTACGGCACTTGGCATATGGGGGGATGTGGTCAATGATCGATCATCTCGCTGGAGTTGGAATCCTTGTCCATTCAATCGGGGTAAATGTTCATTTGCGGATATTCCAACGAGCTTGATATCAGACCTGTGACGCGTCGTGATCGGCATCCATGTGGAAGCTGCGACATTCAGACGCCGGACCAAGTTTTCTCATCCCGACTTTTCATCTGTATGCTGAATATTCGAGTTCACTTCCCTGCGACGTCGACAACTACTCAGGGCGAGGGGGAGAAGTCAACAGTTCCGGGGAAAGCTCCCTCCAAGACTAGAGCAGCTGAACAGGCTCGTGCCGATCGGGACTAGTCCATTCGAAGCCTCAAACAACTTGTTCGCAATAGAATTATAATATCACTAGCGACGGACAATGGACGGGACTTGTGAGAATCATCCTGCGGCTTTATCCTGCACGTCCAGCTCGACATATGCGGCCGATACGAGACCACCGAATCGCGTATTGCTTTCATTCAGCCGGTCGAGCCCCGGTCCCGGTACCCAAGTTAAATTGGCAACGCTTGGCCAAATCAAGCGCACTTCGACGCTTTAGCACAGCGCTTCCCAGGCGGGGACGCGTACTCCGGGGAGCTCCTCCGAAAGGTACTCTGAGCGAACAGTTTTTTTTTCCGCCGAAAATGAATGAAATAAATGATGGCGATCGCCGGGTTAGCGGGCGGGTCCTCAGATGAGTTCTCTCGATTGACAGCTTAAGGGATGGAGAGACCAAAATGATGGGACCATTAGTCGAGCTTGTTCGTTTCCTTTCAAGTCGAATCCTCGACTCACGAGACGGGGTCCTTGTGGCGGGGAATCCTCGGGTAACTCGAGCATCCCATGGCGGGGGGAACTTAAGACTTTGAAATTCACGCCAGGCCGCTCTGCAATTTTTCCGGAGGGAATTGTGGTCACCGATGTGCCTCGATGTTTGTACTCATATTCATGCTTTTCGCGCGGCGTCGCTGACTGTCGGCCTCGGACCAGCGGTAACCCGTACGGATTAAGCTCAATATTTTCCATGCGAATCTGCATGGTAGGTGCGAAGCTCTCGAATCCTGCTACTATCCACCGTCACGAGCCGGTACCTCCCAGACCACAGACTGTGCCGCTAACCGCGTGCCGAAGCTGAGAATCTCTCTCACTCCTTGTCCGTCCGGTTCATCAGGTCTCGGATATGCCAGTCTCGCACCAACTTTCCCCCAAGGCGACCCGTATTCTATTGGCGCTCATATTTCCGACCATCCACATCCATGATGTTCTCGCAGCAGAGCGCGCCCTCCCCTCGGAATTCTCCTAGAAATCCTCCGAACTCTCTCTACCAGGAACTAAGTGATCATTATAGAGTCGGGCCGGATTTGACCGGATTTGAAATGAAGAGTATCCCTGAGCGCTCCCGTTTGGCGTTGGAATTCTTATCTACCGGACACGTTTTGCAAGCTTCTCTCGTATCCTCCTTGTTGGTGAAACATGACGGGAGTATCCTCGGCGGTCCAAAAATACTCTGCGAGAGATATTCTCCGATTGTTTTAATTCCTCCGCCTTGATGGAGCCTTGTCGAGTTCCCTGTCTCCTGGCTCCCGTCGGGTGGGCTCTGAGTTGTTGAATCCTCATATCTAGGTTTTGATGGAATCCTTTTCCCTTCGAATGTGGTGGCTGCACGTGACCAGATCGGCAAGCCTATTAGACACAAGCATTCCTCATTCCTCTGAGCCTTCCCTCCGCGTCATTAGCGGCCGTCCACCCAATGATGAGCCAGGATTGTGATGATGATTGATTGATGACGATTGTAAGAAATATGAATGAATAATATCCGACCTTTTATGATCGACCGCGAGCTGCTCCACGTTCGTCCTGAAGAGGCGTACATTGACCCATGAAATCACGAAGTATGATAAGAGCGCCTCGATCGGTAATGCTCTAGGAGGCCCGTTTTTCAGCTCTGGATTAGAAGGCAGAAGAAACACAGCTGTTGGAGACGTCCCACTTTTGATCATAGATATTCCGCGAACTTCGTTGTTCAGGTGGGTGGCTTAAACCCTTAAACCTTAAACTGACGGAACGGACGACGGGTGCTCCCAGCGTTCCGCGTAAGACTCATGGAGTCTTTGAGATGCGTCATCATTCTTGTCAGAAAGCAGCAGCGTATAATTCAGCCGCATGTGGCTACATTTGAGGACGCAGCCCATTCATCATTTATTTCGCTTGGACATTCTTCTGCTGATCCGTTCTCTTCTCCGCTCACTTTCGAACCATAACAGAGTAGTGAGCGACACGATGATCATTGATCACAACAGGGGGCTCTCATTAGAACTCACTGTGCTCGTCGAGGAGAACACGGAGATGCACGAAGAGGTTGATTTTCGCGGCTCGGGCAATTCCAGGTGGCCAGGTTTAGGTTTAGGTACGAGTTTGGCGAAGAGTAGAAAGTGTACCAGCTCTAAAATCAGGACCACGATGCAGGATAATTGTATGACGATGATCGAGACAAAAGCCGTCTGTATGTCCGCAAATTGCAGCTGATGGACGAGTGGCACGTGGATGTCCTCTGAATATTCGAGACCCGCCCGATTCTTGAAGGCCTCCAACAAGCCCGCGTCAAGCAATCTCCGCGCGATTGTGCTGAACATTCGTTGCAACATGCAGCGTTTCTGCATGGCGAATGTTTGGAAACAGTTTTTTAGGGTCTCGGGCACCACGTGCGATTTTTCCGTGAGACCCCTTTGCCAAATCTGTCGTTTTATACTCAGACTCTCTGCGAACACAAGGGACGTGCGCTGTTCGAGGAGTCGATCGAAACACTCGTTCGTATACACAGCGCACGGTACTGCCCTCTCGGACAGAAATTCCAGTGCGGAGTTGTGCGGTTTTTCTTGCTGAATGCCGGCGAACTGATTGATCCGTGAGTCGTGGAAAATCCAGACGTCTCCGAAGTTTTTCACAAAATCTCCAATCTCGGCGATACTTTGGAATCTGCCATAGATTTCGCCATTGGTCAGCAGGGTCACGAGTCTGGCGGACACGATACAAGCGAGGCTGAATACGCCGATCCGCCAAACTTGCTCGACACATCTGGTGGGCTTACGGGATGCCCTCAGGGGTGGAGTGCTCTGCTGCAGGATCATACACCCTATGACGACGAGGACATGGAGAAAAGCGGGTTTTCTCCTGTCGTAGAATATAATCGAGCTGACGACGAGCGCCGACAGCAAGTAAAGACCAGTCGCCGCCGGTCCGCAGACCATTAGCATCGCTATTCCGGAAATTTTCCGCGCTGCCACGGTCGACATGAATACGTTCGAATCGATGTCGTGGGCGCTGACATGTTCAACGTAATGCTGCCGAGGATCGAGAACACTGTAGTCACCGTAGAGAAAGACCGCCTCCTTCCGCATCACGTATCCCATCGTTTTCTTGTAGCTCCAGACGCTCTTTTCATAAAAATCGCTCTCGAATTCCGGCTGTCGACCGTGTCCTACGAGATCATTGCGGCCCTTGAGAAAGTCTTCCGAGCTGAAATTTAAGTGTCTTTCGATCACTTGCAGAAGACTGAGTTCGAAACCCTGGATCATACCGCTAGCGTGGTCGGATATCTTACTGGCGGCTGTCAGCTGTCCGGTATAAATATCGTGTTCGCTCACGACATGGCGCACTTTCAGTCCGGAGACGTTTCTGTGGTACGAGCCGTCATCGTCGAGAATCCCGAATTCACCGCAGATTTGAAAGTTTGTCCTAGAAGCGAACGCGTCGATGTTGACGGTGGAAAATATTTCTATCACTTTGCCGGGCTCAACATTGTGAGAAAGCACGAAGCCGTCACATTCCCTGGGAAAAATTTCCGCCAAGCCCGATAACTCTCTGGGCCTGCACCACACGTGCACCGAAGGATAGCAAGTTTCTTCGAGAAACCTCAAGAATCTCAGCTGTACCTTCGCCGCCACAACGACTGGACGATGCCTGACGATGAGGGGTAGGGCTGACGGAGGCACTCCGAAGTGGAAACCATTTTCACAGCCCTGCGGATTGACGAACATCGAGCTCGTGCAGTTGCCTAGCTCAGGCCTTAGATCCAAATCCGTTTGGAGGAAGTTCACTTGGTTCAGGTTTATGAACGTGCAGAGGAACGCTTCAACTTCCATGACTTCACGGTGCAGCGAGCCGAGCTCCTCTGATAGGAACAAGCGTGGGAGCCTCACTTCCTCCAGTGGCGAGAATGAGGCAGGAGCTGAATTCATATTTATCGACCAGGATCGCTTGACAAAATTACGCCTATTGTTCGAGGCTTGCCCATGACAGTGATTCGAACCCAGCATTTCCGTAGTCTCGGTTTAGCCTTTATTCGAACAGCTCAGCTCCGTTGGACAATTGTCGGGTTTTCCTCGGTTTGGACCGAGCTCGTAGTGCAGAGCATCGCTCGGTACTGAACGGGTACGCAGACGGAGGAGGAAGTCGTGAGCGAAGGCCGCGGTTTCGCGGGGAAATCCGAGCAAGAATTCGTGCTGATAACGATCTGAGCGTTCAACAAGCATTATGCATCCATATACAATGAGACTCTTGCGGTCCTTCCAATACCATGATGCTTTTCCCAACTTGCGTTGATTGCCGCTAATGAAAGGTTTCTTGGGACACTTGGTACTCGATCAGGATGTTCTATCGCGATACCTCATGAGCCCTAATGGATCCTTTTCCGGAGGGTCTTCGACGCGCCCCATGGGAAATCCGGGATCAGGCATCGGCAGACACTGCCGATCCATAAAAATGCATGTTTCCTCGCCAACGAGAATTCTGTCCTATATGAACACTACCACGGCGTCCCACAGAGCCTCGCTGGGGAAACGCATCATGTGCAAAGTTTATCGCTCTGCACTTCCCTCTTGCCTTCAACACGGGAGGGACTGCATGCAATGTTCACCGAGAGATTGTGTTGGAGAAAGATTGTAAACGAACTGAACGCCCCATCGGCCTGCGGCGCGGCGGTGGCCTAGAGGGGATGGTAGCTCAAGTCAAAGACAACGTTCTTGAGGTTCGCCGAGAAGGTGACTTCGTTGTCCCCGCTGAGCATCACCGACTCCGTAACGCCCTCTGTAATGGACAGACATGAGACGCTCCTCAGTCATCTGTGATTCGTGAACAGCAGGACAGTGGGATTGCAGGTCTGACATCCGATTTCGCTTGCTGTCTATCGTCCCGGGAGCGCTCCCGCCTAACGGCGGGCTCTGTTCGTGACGTCCGTGATTTCGCCGGGAGATCCTCTCGACTCGACCACGAAAGCAGCCCGAGGGCGATTGTGGATCTCTTCAATAAATCTACCATCATGCCATGAATACCTGAGGGCGTGCGATACTGACCGTGTGCGCCCACGACACAGATCCGGAATCCGAGTTTTGTGAAATGGGTAAGAATCTGTAGAATGGAATGAGGAATTAGCAAGCGTCTCTTTCCGGTCTCATTCCTGCAGTAGGAATATCTGCGTCTGACGCTCGATCTATAGATTCGGACAGACCTCGCGTATGGTGGTGCAACCTGAAGAGTCGATGTAGGGACATAGGCTCAAATCCAATACCAAGAGGGATTTTCGCATCGCTTCAGCTGGGGCATCTCTGAGAAGAATCGTAGCCTCTTTGAGTTGGGGAATCGGCACTGGATTGAACGCATACATATGTTGGATAAATCCGACCGTCGACGTACATCAGAGAAAGGAGTTGATCTTTGAAGGCGTCCCGGTTGATGAAGTTGATCTCTGACTCCACCCTAATGACGGATACCTGCCGATCATCGCTCCAGCTCTGCAAAAGGAGGTCAACTTACGAACGCTCATGCTGTACGGTCACGCCATCCTCTGTTTACGTTCACCAATGACCTTTCGGGGTTTGACAGACTGAAGTCTATTTGGCTGCCAGCTTCGTATCGGAGGAGTTCTTTTATAGAGACAAGCGTCTTTCCTTATGTGCGCAAAAGCTTCCTCTCAATTCACTTGTGCCCGGAGCTATTCCTGGTAGGTTCCCAGCGCTGCGCCGGCCACGTCCACAAGGGGGGGAAAAGAGCAAGCGGAGAGAGGAGACGGCTAGATCGCCAAGAGGTCTTCGGATCCTGCAATACTCCTGTGTGTGCCCAGGACGGTTCGACTTTGTTCGCTTACCGTCGATTGCGACAAGGGGCGCCCTTTTTTCGATGATTTCACGAATCGTATCCGGGGTCTGCGGAAAGGTGGGAAATACGGATAGTGGGTCGTTCTGGATTCGCATTATGGAAACCCGAGTTCTAATCTCGAGCAAACACAGGATAATCGGACAAGGACATCTCCAAATTATGTCGGTCGTTGCGGAGTGCGACATGTTCGGAGGAATATCGATTGTCACATGTACTAACTTTGAGTCTCGATAGAGCAACGTGCCGACGGTGCAGATAGCTCCGGCGACGATTCCGTATTCCAAATCGAGGACGAAGCAGCCGAGGAAGGTGCTCAGCCAGACGACCTTTGAGGGCAACTGGTTTTCAGATCGACTCTCATGGCCATTACCGACTGAGATTTTTGCTTGATTGACGGAGGGAGTCGCCGCTCAAACTTCCTTCTTCCGAATCCGAGGACTCGACCGAAAGGGGCTCGATCCCCTGCAATCGAACTCACCGCTTCCATGCGAGAAACCCTGGCGTAACGGAAACAGTCGTTGACCTGGAGGATCATTCCTTTTAGTGCGACGATGATGATTGATGAGAGGACACACTGCAATGAAAACACTCGTAAATAATTCGTCACGACCAGCGTATAAACGAGCCACCCGTTCTGACTGTTCTTAGCGCCCCGCCGGCACGTCGCTGTCCCGCGGCTGCGAGCCCCGAACAACGAGTCTACCGACGGATGGGCGAACAGCGCCGTGACCCATGTTACAGAGGACGAGTTCTGACACCCATAGGCCGTCCGTTATCGTGTCACGCAGCAAAAAACCGCTGATCACGACCTCCTCCTGTCTCTCAACAGAGTCTGAGTATCGACTGGGATCAGCTGGGAATGAAACTTCTGACCATGGGTGGGGGAACCAGTGTTGATAATGAACGGATCTCTCAGATTCTCGGGCCTTGTTGGGTCTAGCTAGATTGCCGACGATTGTCGTCCAGACACCTCCAGGCCATTTTTCCCGTGGCTACTCGGCTACTTCAATCCTAATCGAGAATCGATCAGTAGACGTGGCTGCTATCGAGAAATCTATGGAGAGGAAAACTTCTCTCATTCGAGTTTTCATTTGTCTGGAGCTCCCACTACCTGTCTGTAGGAAGCGAAGCTTGGTAGCACTAAAGAGGGAATTCTCTCTCGTAGATGCACCGATCTCTCATTCGAGATATGACCGCGACGTGCTGATTATGAGAGCTTGGATTCGATCGTCATCGCCTTCTGGAGACTCTCGCACGCATCCGCGGAGCCCTTATCGCCGACAAGAAAGAACACGGTCTTCAGAGTTCAGGAGACTTGTATCGATCCCTCGATGCGCACGACACCTACAAGAACTATGTATGAGGTAAGCTTTCCCTGAACTCCCGATCAGCACCGACATCGGCGGAAGCGACAGTCGGGAATTCGAGTCCCCAATGATCAGGAAGAGTCTGGGACCTCAGTTGCCAGCAACAAGGAAGAGGCAGTCGATTGCGGGAGAGGGTGGGATCTCTGGCGTGGCTCCCGAGTTGAGTCTAAGGGGACAAAACTCACAAAAGAGAATGGTTCGACGGCTTCATGTGATAACTCGGCCCCAGACAGAGCTGCAGTTTCCTCGTTCACATTGAAAACCAACAATCAGGTTTCACCAAAGCCCCATAGGCATCGAATGCGCCCTTGTCAAGTCCCTTCAGCAGGCATTCTCCGTACCGACCGACCGCTCGGAGCCGATTGGACAAGTACGGCAGATACGGATCAGATACGGCAGATGGTTGAAGGCGAACTACGACTCCTCTCTTTCGCTGTCGGGGAGCTCTTCAGACTCTTCCAAGCATCCCGATTACCTATCCTCGAATTTTGACTCTCGCTCGACCTCGGGTGGAAGCCAATTGCAATGTCTCACACGGAAAAATTGTATTCGATCTACGTTCGAGAGTTCTCATCGTATCCCTGGGGCCTCCTTCCATCCGTGTGATTCGAGTGCAAGGCTCCCAATTCTATGAAGGGATCGTGCAACGATAATTCTGTGGAGTGTTGTACGACGCGATTGAGTTACGAGTCACGTACGGTCGAACGAACGATCGGCCAATCGGGCAACCATAATTGTTCGGGCCTAGAGTTCTGTCCGACACGAGTAATCTAGTACCGTCGGATTGCTCAAAAAGTGGTCCTCCGAAGCGTAGGAACACTAGGAGAGGAACACACTCCCCCGGAGAAGCAGGAGGTTGCGGGAGGGCCGAGAACAAGCTGCAGGAATGAGTTAGATGGAGGAAGAAGTTCGAGACGCAACATAGTGAGATATTCATGACCGCTCGAAACGGTTGTGGCTGATCAGAGCCCTTCCTGTTCAGGGAAAAACTGTTCCTTGAGACGCCGTGCGCCGACTCGACAGTCGCTCTTTGGCTTCGTCGAGATGTTTCTCTCCGCTCAGTCCCAGAGCGGCTGAAAGCGGAAGTTTCCAATACTTGGAACCGGTCGGGGAACCAGAAGAGCCCTCAAGTTCAGCCGCAACCGGCAACGACGACGTTGACCCTATTCCGAGTAACGGTGGTGATGATTATGACGCACGACAACGGCGGCATTACGGAGACCCTGATGATGAATCCGCTGATTCGGAACGGGGAATCCAGGACTCAAGACTCCGTCACGGCTTAGGCAAAGTTCCCATAGTAAAAGCTCTCTATTCGGAAGCGAGAAACCCCCACGTGCCCGGTGGGACGTCATATGGCCGAAACGAGGACGAGGCTACCGTCGAGAACTGACTAGCTCAGAGTCGGCCTGCACCCGAGCTCTGTCGTGTCCTGAACAGCGGCATTCCTCAAACTCAGTTTGGAAGACACTCTGCCGATACACAATATTTTTCTCCTCGCTTCCAAGCTCCCTCGAGCATCCATGAGTGGGTCTCCAGGAGTGAGAATTTCCGGCGCACCTTCAACTTTTTTTCGCTGCAGAGAGTCAAAACCTCGCTCCGATTCCCCTCCGTAAGCTCCTGGTACCCTCAACGATCATTGGCTCAGATGGGTCAAACACTCTTGGCTTTCTGCAGTAATTGATTCGTGCCATATAATAGAGGCGGATTCGCTCCGATCGATCATCGCTCACGATCATCCTGAGGCAGGAAGCCACACCTGTTCGATTAAGACCAACAGCCAAACAACGAATAACAGGAGGGAATGAGCCGACCAATCGATGGCTCCTTTGCGATGGAGAGATGTATATAGATATCACAAGGTTTCGCAGAGAAAATGCTTGTCCTTTCTGCGCGACTCGAGTACCCTCGAGAGCTGCTGCGTCATCGCTTCGAATTGCCAACCGACAGAAAGAGTTTGTCGAGCCTCGTCGAGCTCGGAAGAGCTTGTTTGTCTGCGCTCGACATTAAAGTGCTCCCAGCTTCGAACAAGGAACCGAATCGTCCTGGAACAACAACAGTTCGTAAGCCGCCGCTCCATGGAGAGTCTTTTTTCCCCAAGTTGTCCTGCCTGGTCGGCCCTTCGGCGGCGGTTCTGCTTCCGCCTCTACCGTTTCATCGACTTAGCACCGGCATCGCGCCTCCCTGCTGCTGTTGCCGCAAGCTGCGGAACTCTTGTAATTTGTGGGCGTTGCTCCGAAAGCCGCCCATGCGATCGGATCTTGGTCGAGTCTTGTCGAATCCGGTTAAACTGCTTCCTCCCGCTCCCGATTGGATGTCCCTGATACTGCCACTTCCGCTGCTTGGTATCGTGGTCCGATTCCAGGCTCTAAACACCTGTCTGCCTGTTCAGACCGCTGTTCGGCCACTCCAGTTGACTCGGTGGACACCCTTCTCGTGGAGTCTGGTGTCATCGGTGTTCAGGAGCGAAAGGCCCGACTTGCTCTGCCGGGCGGTCGGCCGGCCGGCCCGCCGGCCGCTAGCCCGCGCGTTGCTGATTTGGAGGAGGGCCAAAGCTCGCGAGGACCCTCTCCTAGCTGCGTTGATTCCCGTCGCCGCCGAGAGCCACAGTGGGCTCCAGTAGAGAGGGTGGCAGACATACAAACATTGACGTCGTCATTCGGTCGTTCCTTGAGAAGCGTTCGACCGGACCGTTCTGTGGCCTCACCGTCGGAAGTCACTCGAGCCTCGATGCTCAGAGGCACAGATATGGTTGTGAGCTTTAGATAGCACACGGCTTCGAAATGCAACGGCGCTCACAAACATCTCTACTGTTCGGCTCCAGTCTGCGGAGGTTCGCGTACGTCACGGCCTGTTTTCCGGTCTGTACGCTGTCCGCCTGCTTCCTCTACTCGATAGCTTTCAGCTATTCGACAGTGAACACCACAATCTGTAAGGTGAGTCGCCGGGAGACTGGCAGACGGGGGATTCCGCGAGGGGAAAATTCGGAGTTCCTTGAAAAGTGCCTTCGACGAGGAGTCACAACGTCTCGCGTTCCATGTCTCGGCTCAGTCTCTCTTCGTCTTCGGTCTCGCTGAGGTGGAAGTTCCCTGTCGGGAATCGAGAGGAGTGCTGCGAACCCCGCTACCGTCGGTCGCGAGGACTACCTCGTCTACATGTGCGGGGCTTGCCGTATAAAGGGACGGCACGTTGTTTATTCAGGTGTTCAACGTCCTGCCGTCTCTGAGCGCGGTGACGGGCATATTTCCACAATGTCAAGTCTGGCGGATGGCTGTTGCGATGTACTTCGGACCTCAGATCTTTCTCGCCTCGATGTTACCTTCTTACTACAAGTCGAAGCAACTCCAAGAAGTTGGCTCCGTGGCACGCTGGTGCTACCCGAAAGTTGTGCTCATCAGTGCCGTGTCGCACATCCTTGAATGTCTGTCGTTGGTGAGTACAGAGTAGGAGCGGTAGCAGCAGTGAGGCACGATCATGCAAATGGTCGTCGCCGATCCTGGGCTCGCATTTATTCCTCTTGTTCCTTTCCTTCGGGCTTGCTTCCGATTCCCCTCCCGGGGCTTCTGTAGAAAATGCGTGGGTTGCCGAGAGGTGCGAGGGCTGTCAACAACGAGAGTGGCGGAGCATTCTGTACGGAGGTCCAGGTCGACAGACTCATTGTTGAAGCCCTTCTTCACTCATGCTAACGGTCAGGAACTCCTTTCCAGATCGGGGTAGCATTCATCTCGTCGAAGGAATCCTTCAAAATGCACGTTTTCTTGTTCTGCTCGTTCGCCGCCTTCTACCTGACTCATCTAGTTCTGACTTGCTGGATTATAACGAGATTCGAGCCGTCAACAGCTGAAGAGGACCTCTCCCGAAGGTGATTAGCCCTGTCAGGGTTCGCTTTTCTGAATTCGAAGTTTTTATCTCGCTTGATTCCTGTGCCCCGAATTGGACCGATCGCGTCCGGAGACACTCGCGGCAGTCACGCGAAACTCTCAAAAAACCGATACGTCCCGCGACGTGATCGGATGGTCCCGAGGCCGAGGCGTAACGGACAATCCGGCACCTTCGATGAAGATCTCACTCTCAGTGCAGTAGCTGGTGGGAACGGATCGCGCTCGGGAGCAGCTGTTCGCCCGGAGTCCCTGGCTCTTTGGCTTGACGCGAACTGATTTTGACGGGAAAACCTGACGGAGAGCGAGTCTGTTCGGTTTCCGGAATCATGCGCGCACGTCTTCCCGGGAGAATATTCGTCCACGTGTTGCTTTCTCGATTCACAGGTACAAACTTCGTCTTGCCTTGAGCAGTGTATTGTGTTCCGTCATAATGACCATCTTTTTCTACCTGCATCGAACGCGATGTCTTGTACTGGGTAAGTGGACCCCCCTCCTCCCCGCGTTTCCCCGCATTCAATGAGATTTAGATATCAGAGCTCGTTTTGCGAATCCGAAGTCAGGCTCACAACTTCACTGGGACCGTACCGGGAGCTTCGGGAGGAAAGACATAAGGTATAGATGTTCCTGGATATTGGATGAAATGAGATCTGAGCGCTGGTATCACCACGGGAATCAGGGAGACAGCCAATTTTCGCTGAGGTGAATTAGATGACCCGCCCTCTCGTAGCTCTGCCGCGGATACGTCGAGCACTATGAGTTGAGGTTTGCGACGCCTTCGCTGGCGGCAACGACCGCGAGAGCTGTGATGATGATTACGGTCATTTCTGTCCTTGTCGTGATAACGAACGGTCGGGGATATCGAGTGAAATCTGCTCTGGGCGTCGCCAATCGACCAATCACTGTCTCGCCGGCAAACACCCGGACGATACGTGACTGATCTAACAAGCAGCAGCGATACGCTACATATCGCAGGGAGTATTTGTCGATTCCTTCGTCACGGCCACCACTCTGGCATTGGGACGAATACCAAGTGAAGAGCGACTCGTTCGCCGTCCTCACTCTCAGAGACACGCTGTGCGAAACAACCCCCACTCCCGCGTACCGAAACCTACAGACTGTCGTTTCGCTCGTACCTATCTCGGCTCCTGCCTAACGTCGTTGCCGTTGTGATCGCCGTTGTCGTCAGCGTCCGAATCGACGACGACCATGACCGCCACGTCAGCTTCCCTCACCTCACGCCCGCCTCCGTAGGTTCATGTGACGCCAGCGGTTGAAGGCTGTGGTCGTGGCGGGGCACCGAGACCCCGTCACGGACCGAATGCAGTAGGGGCCGAGACAGCCATTGCCCGGAGGTGATATCAATTGGGGCATAGATAAACGCAGGAAATCGTTTAGCCTGATGGCTTGCCCCCTCCCCTCTGCCCGACGACAGTCGGGGCTAGATTTTGCTCTGATACGCTTGATTCGCACAGCCACGATCGGTTTGGCCGTAGCGAATAAATCTCAGTGAACGGAATTTTCTCGAGAAGGGTCGTCGTTACCGACTGGCAGCGTCCCGAAAACACAGCGGGGTCTAATGGAACCGTCTTCCTGTTCCAGCGTTCAGCGTGTTCGCGCTCGCAGAGTACATCTTCGGACTCAGCAATATTCTGTTCCATCTGACCATAATTTACGATCTTCCAAAATTCCAAATCGACATTACTTTCGGAGGACTACTAACCGGCATGAGCCACGAGGATCCCACTAGTGAGGCTACGACGAGCTACGCTGAAAATCAGAAGGACAAATAGCTAGAGCGGAGAGACCTTTTATCAGCCCAGATGGGAGGATTCCTGCGCGAGCGGGACCTCAGAACACTCGCATTTGCAATCACGGATTTCTCTACGGTATAACTCCGGAGGACCGAAAAAGTCGAGGAGGCAGATGATTAGCAAGCGGAGGTTCCGTAAGACACAAACCGACGACCAAAAAGCCGATAGAATAATTCCTGGTGGACAAGTCCCTTCTGCGACAATCTTCGCAATCGACGATGGTCGGAAAACAGAGGGGTTTCGGAGAATTTCCAAAGACTCATCGACATCATCAATTTGGTTGAATGTTCCTTAGGAGCCTTGAATTCTAGTCGGCGGAGGCAGGAAAGCAAAAGTGATGAACCCTAGTCGAGAGAGAGAGAGAGATTATTCATGTATCACAATTTCACAAGCATGTCTGTCGATAGCAGAAATCGATCGCTCGACGAGTCCTCAGTGAATCGTTCCTAATGGATATTCCGCTCGCCACCGCAACTGCAAGACCATTCATTTCTGCCATAATCCCATCAGGAACCCTTCGGACCACTCGACGTGGACGGAATTAAAATGTCCCGATTACGACAGCCGACGGATCCAAAGAGATCTCGAGAAACGTTGCCGTGAGCTTGCGGGAGCTCCACGGACTCTTTATGCAAATTGAGCTGCCAATATGTACAGATCCACTTGTCTAGTCACCCCACAAGCTGAATGTATGTATAGAGGGGGATGGGGCAACAGTGAGGAACGGAACACTTTCAAGACAAGTCCAGAGTTTTCATGAATACGATTGTCCATGGCTCACCCAAAATCTAGCTCAACCAGAGCTGGAGTTTGGAACTCCGGCAATCAACGTCAAGGCCAGGAGGATAACGGATTGAGAGCAAACCAATAACCGACACGAGAGCGAGGATGATTCGGAGGAATAACGGAATATACTTGAGTTTCCCGGAAACTCTGCGGTTCCAGAAACGCTCAATGTTTGTCCGCTCCGCGGCCACGAGGAACACGAGGGCGATCTGGGAGACCGAAAAAGCAAAGTTGAGATGCTCCACCTTTTATAAGCTTTCTACGGATGAGGCCGCGTCGAACGATGCGGCGGTGCGAGGGTTCCTTGGAGGTGCTGTCCAGCATCGGAAGGAGGCGAGCGAGCATGCCGAGGACCCTGCCGAACTCACACAATCCCTCGCCCGTTTCGAGGTGTCGTTCACCATTTGTACGGACATCAGACTCGTGAGATGTCGCGCTGGATGAATTTTATTCCAATATAGTTTGCCAGTGGCGCACTGTGATACCAGCAGCTTCAAAGTAGGTTTAAGAACCCAATTCCACCGATAGAATAACCAAATTCCTGAAGACGAATGGCGTTAGCGGATTTATCATCGGTTTCAACTCAGTCACCCTCTCTTTGGTGCGCCTTGTGATTTCGAAAGGTTCCGGAGTGATAGAGCTTTCCGGACTTTTCATCAACTTCTTTTTTCGAGCGATCTCCACTTTGAGTATCCTCTGGTATTTACGTATTTATATCATCCCCAATCAGCAAGAATCCCCGACGATGTCGCCGGTGCCGTTTCTAAGTAATCCACGTGGTGTTCATGTTTACCTTATGCTACTCATGTTATCGTTTGCCGAGCATTCATTCCACGACATATTTCGTCATCATAACGACTGTCGAAGGGGGAAGAAATCTCGACATCTTCTCGTCTTCGGCCTTGGGGATGATTGGAGGCTCGGGGAGAATTCGAAACTCAGAGGGTCTCCCATCAATGTTTCCCGGAGAATGTGCTCGAAGATAGAAGGCCGTGCATGAAGAAAGCCCTGGGCCAAACTGAGGAATGATCCCAATCGTTTCGACAGTGGAGCCCATCATCACTAAGGTCATTTCGGCCAACTCATTTGAACGAAAGCCGGCGAGTTGAATTCTCCGACTCGGATCCGCTCAACCCCAGGAGCCTGGCTCCTTCCGTGGGACTTGCCGGAGGGATGCTTTCCGATTCGGAACTCTGGGAGGTGTCCGACGTTCCATGATTCGAAACGAGAGTTAATTCTCGGGAAGTTCGTCGTGAGGGGAGACGAAGAAAGACTTTCAAAGCTCAAGCTCCTGCTCCCCGTTTAGGGGTCCAAATGTCAGACGACAATCTACCGCGTAGAGATCTAGCCCCGAGAGAAGCGAGAGACTTGGCAATTGGAATGACTGAGCCTCCAGTGCCAGCATTGGGGGATGACCTTGAGCCGAGATTTTTTCCCCATCGACGACGCTCCGTCCTCCGGTTGTTTTGCCAATCCTATGTGCGCCGAGCATATGAATACTGGAGAATTTAATTTCATTGGGTTGGCATTGTCCTTGATCTCTTTCCGACTGCCGTATTTTCGTTTTATATCCTCCGTTGAATCGCGCCGTCGAACGAGTGAGAAGCTTCTTCCGAGACGAAAAAGATCGGGCTTCCCTCCTGAACTCCCTGATGATTCCCATTGTATTGGATCCTTCCCAGTTAACAGAGAGGCTATCAATCTCGAATTTCTCCGTGTCTGATTGATGCGGTATGATCTGCTCCCGTCAGGAGGAATTCCACGGGAGGGGTGGGAGCGAAGTCTCAATATTGATCGAAATTGTATCTTGAATCTAGAATACAGGTAAAGACGCGTCCAGCATGTGAAGACGTAGCCGTCGTGAGATGTCACTGTATCCCGCATCATATAATTTCGGAGTGCCATCACATTCATGGAGACCTTGGTGCTTAGTTGGGAAAGGTGAAAATGGAATAAATATGGAAGATGTACTTGCAACCGAGGGACCTTTCCCACGAAACCGACGGCAATATCATTTTCCTCGAGCAGGTGGGCGATTTCCGTGCTCTACTCGGATCTCGACGTCCAGGTTTTCGGGGTAGCGCGCCTCCTATCAGGGGAGCACTGGTCCAGAAAGATTCAGAACTTACTTTCGGCAGGTAGAAGAAGAGCGGTCCGGCGAACAAGATCACCACGATGAGAAGGGCAGAGCTTATGAGCGAACTCAGCTGGGATTTGGACCCGATTTTCTCCTGCAAACTACTCCGAGAAAGCGAGGCAGCGCAAGGGAAACAGTCCAAGAATGAACCGAACACATTTGCGCTCCCCATGGCGATGAGTTCCTGCGAGAGAATCGATCAATGTACCACTCATCGATTGCGGTTTCATCGTCAACAAGCGATCACATCTCCGGGGGGGGGGGTTCCGGGAACATCAATTTGCATCCTTCCCCGTTCCGGGACGTGCCTGATTTGCGTCAATACGGTATCCGTTGCGACGAGCGAATGTTTTCCCCAACGAAAGGCATATCACATAGCTTATGAACGCCACAATGAATGCTTCTTTGAGCATGGCGGGGAACAAGATCATTCGCGGCATTGTCACCGGTGGCAATCTGTGAACAGAAGGATCCCTCATCGTTAAGGCTGGGAACAATTCACGGCATTTTACCCGGAAATTCACGGCAATTTTCACCCCCATTGACTTCCTATTGAGGATCGCCTGAAAATACCGTGAAAAGTCACGGCTTCTGGCGCGATCGCGCCAACTTCTCAGCCCTACTCATCGTCAGAGCGGGGGCTTATCGTTCGAAGCGTATGTGAACTTGGAAATTCTGAATTACTAAAGTAACGGCTCACCCTGTCGGGACTTCCCCCATGATCGCAGACCCGTATAGATCACTCAATCTCGTGATGTAGCTAATCAGCGTTACGATTATCACCTGAGAACACAGTTCGATGAGCGAAGATCGACCCCGATCCGGGACGATACCTCGGAGCTCATCGGATCGGCGGATTTCGTGAATAGAACTTTTACGACGAAGATCAGATGATGTCTCACCACGACGAGCTCCACGGGGACAGGCATGAATAGCTTCGCCTTGAACTTCTCGTTCAAGAACTGTCCTTGATAAATCACGACCACAGCGGTCAAAGACATCACGGTCGTGGCGACATTAACCTCTAAAAATCGTATGGCAACGTCGTAAAACGACTGTACATGAAAGGAAAAAGAGCCATTCGTAGTCGGGAATGAGCGGCGAGCTCGGAGCCTCGCCCTCGGACTGGTTGAAATTCCTGTCAGGCAAGCTCAAAGCGGATGTGGGAAGGCGAGGGAGATGTCGATGATCGCCAAGCGACGTTTTCAGGCGGGTCTACGCACCAGAATGACTTTGAAGACTCCCTTCCTCCGCTGGACCTGGATGTCGAAGAGACCTTTGAGCTGTGAGGCAATCACGTGGGTTGCGGCTCCGGTCGTAAAACCCGACAGCATCGGTTCGCTCAGTAAAACCGATAAACTTCCGAGGGAGCAGATGCCTAAGATCACCTGCGGAATGGCGTCGGGGAATAATTTGTGCTCGTGACCCTGCGGCGGATGACGATCTCGAGAGACTTTCGAGCTTGCGCCCTGTTCCGAACGACCAAAAATCGTCGCAGGGGGGGAGTACCCCCGAGGATCGAGCAGCGATTCCTCCTCCTGATTCAAAAAAGCTGAATGATCCCCACATCATCCCTGGGACTCTAAACCTAGGATCCCGCTGTCTTTCGGGACTGGTCGCGACGATCGAGGATCTTTCCCTGAGCCTCATTACGCATTATGCAGATGATGAAGAATAAGGGTCGCGTAGGAGCACGCTCCTGCCCCTGGAAACAGCTTCGGCTAGACGCTAGACGCTGGACCGATGCGGAGGAACATGAACAGGTCGGGAGCCCGATACCTCGCACTAGAGCTCTCATTCAGAGCCCGCAGCCAGCAGCCATCTACGTTAAGGTCTCGTCACTCCATACATGTACAAACATTTATTCTCGCTTCTCATTGAGCCGATCACAAGATTTTCCCCGTCTATCCTAGCGTAACATCACTGCTCGATATCCAATCCTAGTCATCCCTGGAGAACAGCAACAATCCTTTGGACGCGTATTCTCGCGCTCGAGCAGTCTTCTCCAGGTATCGTTTCCGATGATACTCAGCTCTTTCCGGATCCTGGCGTCCCCATGTGAGACCCGACCAGTCGATCGGCTCCGCTACTGGTTTCTGACCTGGAGAGACTCTGTTCCGGATGAAAGAATCGTAGATGAAGCTTGAGAATAGTATCGCAGTCCCTGCCGTGATACTACCGTAGTAAGTAAGCCTCGGAAATTTGTCCCAGAACTTCGCCTTGGGAACTCTGATGGGATTTTGCTTCCTCGACCAAGGGTCCAACTTGGGAGGCTCTTTCGAGAACCTCGCGACCAAAGTTCGCCACATTATTTCACCGTCGTTCCCTAGAGAGGGCTCTCAAGCCGACTTTTCAAAGAAGTGGGCAGTGCGTGATCTTCTCATCTGGCAAAGTTCTCAATCACCGACAGAGCGGAGAGTTCGAACATAAACACGGAGCAGACGAATTCCTCGTTTACACACACGCCGCCGCGCGCGCACTGTTCAGGAGACGGCGGCAACGGCGATGATGATGGAGGAGACAACAGGCGAAGAAGAATGGAGCGCGCCAACGGTTGTTGACGTCGTTGTAGTGCGACTGTGACGGCGACGAGACGTGAGACGTGTGACGTGTGTCTTGACTGAGAAACCCAGATCGCCGCTCCGAAACGCTGCTCTCTCTCCACAGCTGTTATTACAGCAGAGAGAGAGAGTTACAAAGACAGACGGATCCTGCGCTCAATTATCGGGAGAGACCGGCTGTTCGTCTCTAGTGACAGCATGAGAAGAGCGGGTGTAGCATATTCATGGTGGTCTGCGACGCTTAGAATATCTCATTCGGACGCGTGAAGTTCTTTGGGACCTCGAGACGCAAATGCTTGGTGAGTTTCGATTTTTCCCCCGAAGTGCGACGTGGCCGGACAAACCGAACTCGGCTGTTTTGACACACTCGATTCGACGGTCACGGTGACATGAATGCCGTCAGCGTGAACTCCATAAGTTTTGCGAGTCCGCGCAAGAAGTCGAAAGCAAACTATTTTGAGCTCGAGAGACCCAGGTATCCTGTCGCATGATTCCCGACGTCCCGGGAGGCTGTCTGTTTTGTTTTCAAAACTTCGTGACATTCGCTTCCCTGGAATTCTCTGGACTTGATATCTCTCGGAGAGAGTCCCTCGCCCCCCATACGAGCTCTCCCAGGTGGGGCACCTCGGCATGCTCTGATCGTAACTGACATGTATCTTCCAATTGCAGGAATCGAGGATGCCGACGTCGTTGAGCAGTCTCATAAACCTGTCGAACTCCATTATCGGTGTGTCGCTGCTCACGATGCCATATTGCTTCCAGCAATGCGGCATCGTCCTGTCATGCGTCGTACTCGCTGCCTCGGCGTTTGTCAACAAATACGCTTGTCACATGCTCATAAAGGCCTCGATGGTGACTCGCAGGAGGAAATTCGAATATCTAGCTTACCACACCTTGGGCTACAACGGGAAACTGGTCATCGAGCTTGGTCTCATATGTTTCCTGTTGGGAGGATGCGTGGCCTTGTTCGTAGTGACCGGTGACATCCTGCCGGCGCTAATGAACTCGGCCATCTCCCCGGAATCGAGAATTTATATGATGGTGTTCATAGGCTTCTTCGTCGCTTTGCCTCTGTCTCTCAGGAGGAATGCCGAGTCCCTGACCTCGTTTTCTATGGTTTCAATGATGTTTTACGTGTTCCTCGCCCTCAAGATGTTCGTAGATTCACTCCCCTCGCTGCTCGATGGTACCTGGTTCCATCGGGTCGTCTGGTGGAACACCGATAATTTATTGGCGGTATTGCCCATTTTCGCGATGGCTCTGGCAGGTGAGAGTCCTTGAACGATCTGCTGCGTTCCCAATCACGGTCGATGCGACATCGAATGATTTTCCGAAAGTCCTGGAGGAGTTTCGCTCGATCCTAAAAACCTCATCTTGTCAATTGAAGGTCAGCCGCAAATATTCGAGGTTTTCGATCTGGCAGGCACAGACATCCACCACATGAGACTCTGTGACAGAACAGTTTCGTCCGCGATGCAGACCTGTCTGACGGTGTACTGTGTCGTTGGCTTCTGCGGTTACATCTCGTCCTACGAAAAATAACGACGCTGCCCGGAAACTCGCTCCTGCTCCTGGACGATTCCTGGATGTCATTGATGTTCAAGTTCGGCTTCGTCGCATCGCTGATCATGTCGTTCCCGCTGTGCCTGTTCCCGTGCCGAACGTCGCTGCATTCGATCATATACAGACGGGTGAGAGATCGAATGCGATGATCTGCCGTTCGCTTTTAGAAATCTCCGGAGATCTTGGTCCGAAGAGATTTTCCGCGCTCTCCCTTCCGAGACACGTCCTGGAGGATAGCCTGTCCTTTTTTGCCGTTAGATTCCTGTCGATCAGCGACTCAATTCGGTGGAACTTCCGGTTGGAATGAAGTAAAATGAGGGAATGCTTTTCAGGGTATCAAACTCCACGATTCGGCGTCTTCGCTGCACGATTTCATTCCCGAGAATCGTTTCAAGTTGCTGACATGCTTTTTGTTGTTCTCGACCCTCGGGGCCGCCCTCGTCATACCGAGAATCGAACTTTTCCTGGGGATGAGCGGAGCAACTGTTGGTTGTCTCGTGTGCATCGTTGCTCCAGCTGCAATCTATCTTGGGGCCACTAAGAAGGACCAGACTTTCGAAAGGATCACCGCTCAGGTTAGACTTTTGTCAATGCGGAATGCAAAAATCCGTGGAGATTCCATACCCACGGTCTTCTCGATATCCCGGAACTCTCTTGCAGCTCGTGATTCTGCTCGGCTTGGTCATAATGGGTCTCTGCAGCTTCTCGATGATGAATCGTGTCGATGAACCGGGAGCACTCAAGCCGTCGATAAAATTGACGAATATGGAGAAACAAGGAATTCTGATCCCCATCGCCAAAGAACCACAGGCCCCGCTTCAAATCAAGGAGCCGGATCCGAAACATGCGGAGCCTAAACGACCTGAACCGGTGGAGCCTCACGAAGAAATTCCTGACATCAAAACTCTCAGGAACAAAACTGCGAACGTGCGGTACAGAATAGGATCCGATCCCGGGAAGGTAATGCCTATCGCGCGGATTAAACTCGAGCCGTCCCCCGAGCCCGCTGGCAATATCGTCGACGCGAAACCCGTCGCCCAGGATGGGGAGCCGGAGAAACGGGGACGAGGCTCGTCCGTCCTAAGTTCACAGAAACCCGCAGAACCTGAGCCCAATCCGGAGAGCTCATCGAAGAAAGAGCAGCAGGGTATCGAGCTCCTCGAGAAAATCGTTGAAGTCCAAAAGGAGCAGAAGAAAATGATCGAGGATATACAGAAGAAGATCAATCAGGAAATCGAGTTGCATAAGGAAACTCACGAGAGCCAGAGCAATAGGACCAAAGGGGACGAGAATACCAAAGTCGGGCCCAGTCAAGTGATCAAGGTACTCCCCACACAAGCAAACAGGACGAGCTCAATACTCCAGGGACCGAGCGCCGATCCGAAGCCGGTCGAGTTCAGGGGACCTCTGAAAGTTCTCAACCGACGTCTGAACAAGGAGCCTGAGGACCTGGCTCTGAAAACCAGCCGGGGCCCGTCGGATGCGAGAGACGTTCCCGCAAACGCAGATCCTATAGCATCGTTAGCTAATGCTGCCAATCATCAGACACCACTGAACAAGAGCATTCTGTCCCCGAAGCCCGGATTCTTGGGACCCGTCGCGGAGCTCGCGCTCCCCGAACACCCTGAGCTCTTGTCGGAAATTGCTAAGAAAGAAGGACCCGCCATTCTCGAGGATTTGAACAAGAGCTCGAAATTAGAGAAAGCGGACGACAAAAAATCAGGGGCGGAAGTCGGACCCGAGGCGAAGTCTGACGTGAAGAAGTTCGTCGCACCTCTGGTTATCAAGATGAATCCTGCGAACGCGTCGAAGAAGGAGAACGTTCACAAAGAGATTTGAGTTCCTCACGCTATTCCTCGCTCCTCGATCGGATGGGGCTTCAACGTATGAAAGGACGCTTGTTAGCCGCAGTATTATTTTCGGGGAAGCCCCCGCAGTCCTGTGATAGGTGCTCCTATATGAGCCGAATGGAGGGAAAGCGAATGAGAGTTCGTTGTGATTAGTTCTCGTTGTGGAATGCGAATTCTATTAGGCCCCTCCTCCTCCATATATCTAGGTATATCCTCCCGTCGTGTACAAAGCTCTCCGGAAACGTTAACTATGGTGTATGATGAATAAATTAGTATATTGTCTTGGAGATGGTGGTCGTTTACTATGATGAATGAGTGAGTATATTGTCTCAATTGACTCCCACGGATCTCCGGGGCCCTCCCGCCTGTTCCCCGGCTCTGGGGAACCCATCGAGATCCCCAAGCAGCTACAGTCGCCACCTTCAAAGCGTAGCCTTATTTGCAAAATCGATGTCTGATGAAGAGAGTCCAGACTAGGCCAGGGGCGGAGTGCCTCTGTGCTACGAACTGTCGCGAATCGAGCATGCATTCGCGATGGTTCCACGCGGAGCCGTCGTTGCCGCTTTCGGACGACTAATCATTGATGTAAGAATCAGAAAAATAAGAGAATCATACAAAAGAGTACTCCAATAAAGATGCGTCGGAGGGCTGACTGGGACGGAACGTTATGCATTGCGTAGAGGACGAAGTAGCCTCTTCGTTCACCTCCTCGGGAAGAAAAGCACGCCGTTAGCAACGGCGAGCCGCAGCCCGCACAGTTCGATCGGAGCCGCCATAGTGAGCCGACGTGTCGGGGTCGCTCCCAGGAAATCCGTCGCAGTCAGCCTCTGACGTCGTTTCTGAGTTCAACTGGCCAGTGTTCTCTCTAATAACCAGGAATGTGTGTAACATTGTTAGTATCAGAAGTGACAAATTCGAACTCATTCACTGCCCGACGGACTGGGCCATCGTAGCATCATGCTTTTGTTTCCAAAGAGCACGCTGATTCGAAGTCGGTAACGTACGAAACCATGGCTCACCGAGAGCCCCCGTCTCCTTCGGACGAAGAAATGTCCGACATGACGAGATCTCTGGGCAGTATGAAAGTATCGCCGGATCAGCTGAACAAAGAGGGACGACCGGCTGGATCCAGGGGCGAAGAAAAACCTCCCTCGAGGGACTGGGGTTTCCGGTTGAATTTATCCCAATCACCGCAAGAGAAATTCGCCGACTTGAATTCAGAGTACCATCACCTGAGCTTCAAGCTCCTTGTTTATGACGACAGCACTAACCGGGTCCATGAAGCGGCGAGTGAGTAGAAAACTTTGAGCTCCGAAATTCCCCAATATATGGCGGTGCTCGAACCGATCAAGAATCGACTGTTCAAAATCTCCGGCCGCAGGGCCGTGTTTGAGCCAAGTTGGAGGAAGCAATTTCAGTAGAGGGAGAACTTAACGCTCCTTCGGTTTGGACGAAGGAGCGCTGTACGAATTTGGCGTACAGTTCCTGCAGATGAGCCAACGTCGAGTCCATCCGATCACGATCATTGCTCATTGCTCATTGCTCATTGCTCATTGCTCATTGCTCCTTCGTCCAAACCGAAGGAGCAGAAATGCATAGGGAAGAGCCGAAAGAGTCACATCCTGGGATCAACCACCAGAATGCGATGGAGGAGAACGAGCGAGCGGTATCTACGCCAGATAACGTCAATCGGCTTCAGTCAACGAGCATAGATCACCAGCGTACGGCGACACCATCGGTAGGACACGATTGGGCAGTGGTAAATCCGGGTAGTGTCTCGGCGCTACTCGGAGAGTCCGCCCAGCCTCAAGTGGAATCGACCGGAGCTCAGTCTGTGAGACCTAAAAGCAAGGAGAGCAATCGCGAGACAGCTTCGGGAGAACTCCCGGAATTCTCCAGACAGTTCCGGGTACGGCCGTTAATATGGCTCCGAGCCCTCCCAATCTTGCTCCTGTCATCGAGCAAAAAGTCGAACTTTCACTTGCGGCGGATCCAACCCCGGCCCCAAACTCGTCTCAGGTGAACTCGGCCTTATCTCAGGCCAAGAATAAAATGCATCCGAGCTTCTCGAAGTCGATACGTCTACCCAGGTTCAACGGCGACCCTGAGAGCTACAAAGAACTCGCGGATCTCCTTGAAATGTTCGTGGATTCAAATTATGATTCCCCTCTCGAGAAGTTATGGATTATGAGGAATTCTCTCACGGAAATGCTCTCAATAAGATTCGTCACTTGAATATGACAGCAGAAAACTGCGAAACGGCGGAAAATCGGCTTCGAGAAGAGTATTGGGAGCAGCGATTAGCAGTGAAAGGCCATCTCGATGAACTAGATCGACTAACTTCTGGGGGACGCGTCTGGGTCGCTCCCAGGAAATCCGTTGCAGTCAGCCTCTGACGTCGTTTCTGAGTTCAACTGGCCAGTGTTCTCCTCAATAACCAGGGCTGTGTGTGACACGAATTCCGCCTCTATTTTCTCCAGACTTCTTGAAACACGTGAATTTCGTGAGAAGATCCTCGGAAGCGATACGTGCCTCCCCTGGAATTCGGATCTTCGCATCGTCGATCGACCGCAGATCCGGGGGATCAGATCTCACTCCCAAGGTTTCTACGGCCGAGGACGGAATGAGAATGCATGGAACTCACTTGTAGCAATCCGACCACGGTGGCAAAAGTGGAGATGACTTCATCGACGGAGTAAATCTCACCGATTTGGGTATCCGTGCCATTTACAGATACCGTATGTTCCGCAATAACGGGCGTAGCACTCCTCACCAATAGGGAGACTACGGCGAAGGTTCCTGTGCGAGATCGAGATTCTGTCGTGAGACCAGCATCGCTCCTGATCACTCCCCCGCCGAGTTTCTGGAGCTCCGTTCTTCACATGAACACTGACCTATCGATATGTGCTTTCCGGTTCCCAACAGGGCGTAGATCAAGGGAGGGAATGTAGAAACGTAGAGACCCTGTATCGCCGTGGCCCCGGCCAATTCCCCATACGCGAGACCTAGATGATTAGAGGAAAGCATACAGTTGAGTCATTCGAGCAGGAGTTGGAAGTGCTTTTAGAAGCTAGACCGACCTTGGGGCACGTGCATAATCGCCACCGTGATGGCGGCAACAACGTCGTCCTTCAGATTCTCCAATTCATACCGAGGTAGCCAATCCAAAATCGGAACCAGTCTCTTGGGATGGAACCGGGCTGCCATTTTTCGGGCACAGTTTGCGTTCTGAAACTTTAATTCATATTTCTCCTCATCTGACACCGACAGTATTTTCCGGCAGGCAGCTCGGGAGGGCCATTTGAGACCGATTGGTGTTACGGTCAAATTTGTGAGAGTCCCCAACTCGCCGGTTCTGGTACTTACCTCCGTTCTCTTACGATAAGAATGATCGGATGATGAGCCGTAAAGATCGTCCGGGGTTATCTCGAACCGGAAACTCGAACTCTGACGGCGTGTTTCCGCTAGGACGTTCGCATTGATCGCGTGTTCTATGGGGTGGGGGGCTTCAATCGAGGAATTACAGAAAGATTCGACTCTGAAGACTGTCGTCCGGTTCTCGCTTGTGATCATCAACTAACCGTTTGAGGATTCCTCGATTCTTCCCGGAATGTCGGTGGTGCTGCTGTTTATGAAACCTTTATTGTCCATTCTCGTTTCTGAAGCGCTTCGCACGTTTCCGTCGAGCTCGTCGCTCGGTCTGAATTGATAGAAGGAATTGGCGCTGCTTCCTACAATAAAACGACTAAGATCAGCGATGAGATCCGAATGCATTCCGTCTGCCTCTCGCGATGCCGAAAGGATTTTTTTTCGATCTTTTTGCCGAAAGGAAACCTCTGACGGAGAAACCGATCATAGCCTCTCGGGATTAGTAGGTCCGATCCTCCATACGCCCGACAGGTGATGCGTCCAGAAATCAGATTCAGCGCATTCAGCAAAAGCCAAGTCTTACAAGTCTATGAAATTCCTCGCGCTTTCAAGGTCCATGACCTAACTACTAGCCGTCCCGCTCATTCCGAGAGCATTCGCGCACCACCATTATCCCACGATCGTTTCGAAGTGAGGACTCGGTTTTCAAACTATTTGCGTATTCAATCAATCGGTCAGCCAGGAGGTCAGGTATGGTTTTCTGACGAGATAAGAATTCGAAGAATCTTCGCTCGCTAAAGAGATGAATTCGCTTTATCGTCCCTCGTCATCAGGGTCCACACCCCGGTCGCAGGAACTGTCCGGACAACGAGTCCCAACTTGGTCAACAGGGAGCAGACCTAGTTTCCGATCCATGCGAGGAGCGGCCGGACGGGGGGTGTGATGGCTCAACACTTGGTTGGAACTCAGGTAATCATAGGCAGTAGTCCTGATGGGATTCCTTCCCGCTCCGGTGAGTCCGGAGCTCTAGGCAGGTTCCGGGGATCGGAAGCTCCGACGAGTCGAGGAGATTGAGCTCCGCCCGGAAGAGATTCCAGGAATACCCCCCCCCCCCCTATATAATGAAGCAGCTATCGCCGTCCGTCAGTACGCTCTACTGCTAGCGTCGTCGATTCGATGTCGAGGATTTGACAATTCCAACTGATGAGGTGACTCATCGACCACAATCGAGAAACCGATACATCGTCCTCTCATTGGCTGCGTACTTGGCTGCGTAGATTGGCTTCTGACTCATGATCAGAAGCGAGACTGCTCAACAACGATGGGCTATACAGGTTAACCAACCCTTCGATATCCTTGCCCATTTGTGGCCAGTGAAAATAAGCCCGCGTGAGCGTTTTCATACGCCGAACGCCCGGATGCGCGACGTGTAGCTTGTGGAGCTTTACGGAGAGGTTGCGGCACGCGTAGACGATCATTCGAGAGAAGGCAGCCGTCGGTCTCGCATATGCTTTCGGCCTGTTGAGCGAAAGGCCGAGGGCCGGATCTCTGCGATCGTCATCGCGCCAACCCTTTCTGACGCGTTCGAGGATGGACACCAGCATGGGATCTTCCCGAGATGCCTCCTTCACATCCTGCGGAAGGTTGAGTACTTTGAGAGAGATCAAAAGAATTGCTACGATTTCCTGCTCACAAAGGTTGAGGTGACCGATGACCTCATCGAGCGCGTCGGCCAAACGCCAAACGGAGAGCCCAGCCTCTAAAGCGCGCTGCGGTTCGTTCGCTGAGACCTTTCATATTGTTTATTACAATATGAAAATAACAACGAAGGAACAAGATATCCTCTGGTTGATCGACCGGCATCCTGTTTTTCTCCTGCACAAAGTTCGAAGCGACGGCGCCTATATCGAGTTCTGTGCTATGTGAGCGGAGAGTAACAACGTGGCTTCAACTGTGTGACTATTGAATATTGAATAAGTTCTACAACGAACTTATCGGTCCTGTTTTATTGAGACCAGGAACGATAGAGGGCGGGGAGGACCTCACAATCATGGCGACCCTCGTGTATTGACGCGAAACTCGCAAGAATTTTCACAAACGTGATCGAATCGCTTGCCGACTTCAGAGAAACGTCCTTTCGATTTTGATATATGACAACCCTCGATTTTGGAATGTTGCAAGAGCGGTAGATCGAGATGGAGGTTTTTCAAGTGGGTTGTCAAGGCTTCCTGCAGTAATCGGGGACCCATCTCAAGGTGATCGTCCCGATGAAGTCTGAGGAGGACCCGTTCTACAAAGATATTTTCTATCGTCATCGAGATAGAAACACATTCGTCGGAACCGTTGGAAAATGGAATGCTTCGTCGAAGACCCAGCAAATTACAAGAACGAATGTGTTCGTATCTCGATGATGATGGGAAATATCTTCGTAGAACGGGTCCTCCTCAGACTTCATCGGGACGATCACCTTGAGATGGGTCCCCGATTACTGCAGGAAGCCTTGACAACCCACCTGAAAAACCTCCATCTCGATCTACCGCCCTTGCAACGTTTCAAAATCGAGGGTCATATATCAACATCGAAAGTCCGTTCCACTCCGAAGTCGGCAAGTGATTCGATCACGTTTGCGAAATTTCTTGCGAATTTCGCGTCAATACACGAGGGTCGCCATGATTGTTAGGTCCTCCTCGTCCTCTATCGTTTCTGGTCTCAATAAAAGAGGACTGATAAGTTCGTTGTAGAAGTTATTCAATATTCAATAGTCACACAGTTGAAGCCACGTCGTTACTCCCCGGTCACATAGCACAGAACTCAATATTGGCGCAGTCGCTTCGAGCTTTGTGCAGGAGAAAGACAGGATGCCGGTCGATCAACCAGAGGATCTCTTGTTACTTCGTTGTTATTTTCATATTGTAAACACTATGAAAGGTCTCAGCGAACGGACCGAAGCGCGCTTGAGAGGCTGGGCTCTCCGTTTGGTGTTCGGTGGTCTATGATTTCCATATCGAATGCGTCCGAAGTCCGAACGAGTGACTTTGGCCATGCCGACGCGCTGTCGCGCCTGATCCGCGACCTCAGGAAAGACGAAGAAGACGCCGGCCTCGATGAGGTCATCGGTCACCTCAACCTTTGTGAGCAAGGAATCGTAGCAATTCTTTTGATCTCTCTCAAAGTACTCAACCTTCCGCAGGACGTGAAGGAGGCATCTCGGAAAGATCCCATGCTGGTGTCCATCCTCGAACGCGTCAGAAAGGGATGGCGCGATGACGATCGCAGAGATACGGCTCTCGGCCTTTCGCTCAACAGGCCGAAAGCATATGCGAGACCGAATATGTATATGAAACGGAATCAGGCCGAGCGCGCTTCGGCAGTGCAGAGCTCGAGCGAAGAGTACACACTGTGGCTCTGCGAAAACGCGCAGCACCGGCCGCATACGACGGTACTCGAGTTCATGTCCTGAATGGACGGACCCTTTCACACTTGGCGTGACGTAGGTATAGTATCCCTGGAACTTTCAAGGGAGGCTTGGTTCACGTGCTGCTTTGAGACGAGTCCATCACGAATTTCCTCTTCGGAAATTCATACGTTTCACCGCGGGCTCATAGGCAAGGGGAAATTCCCGAATGCGAGACAGGCATGTCGTTTCCTCGAGCCATTCATTATGAGTTCGCCCCTCGAGAACGTCGGCGTGAACAAAATGACATGAGAGGTTGTGAAGACCTACACAGATCGTTTGCAATACCATGCGGCATTCCACGGGTGATCAAAAACTGCGGAAACTAAACGAACTATCCAGATGGACACCTTCGCAGACCGCTTCCCTCGCTCACATCTCCATGAGATCTTGCTAAGCCAAGTCTTTTCTCTCTCGATTAAGAACAGAGAGAAGTCTCTTACGATTTCACACCCATATCCAACGCGAGCGGTTTTGCGGACCCTCTCGAGAGATTTGTGTGAGGAGAGAACCTTTTATGCCTGGATTGAGAACAATGACGCCCATACGATAATTCCAAACAACGGAACTGAATCATCATCTCTCAATCAAATGATTCCCCTCCCGAGCGGTGAACATTTTGGAGTCCGACCCTGAGGAGCTGAGCCGTTCGACCCTCACGATGGAAGCGGGAGTCAGAAATGAGTTTAAAACTGTATCTTTCCTGTATGATCGTCCAATCCTGGCCCGAGGAAGCGAGGGCATCAACTTTGGCTTCTAGTATTGCGAATCACGAGGGGATCATAGGGCGAGGAACGCGAGAGGGAGGACATACATATGAAGCATGCAAAAATATGGCGAGCGCTCGGAGAAGAGGGACAATGGAAGGATTCCATAAAAAGGTCCTGAATGGGTTCCGAGCAACCTGCGAGTTTTGACGTGAAAACGTCTTTAAGTTCATCGCGCATACAGACCAAGGGTACTTCGTCCTCAGCGTCACGAAAGTGATCCGCTTTTGACGCTTCATAACTTTGTTCCCCGAACACCTAGATCTTCGCGGTGTGTGCCATAGTATCGAAAATTTACGGCACGAGCTTCCACGCGATTTTGGAGCCGATTGGAGTCCTCAGAGCTCCCGTTCAGCGTGATTCGTGCAACCCTCTGAGATACCTCGATTCTTGCATAAATAATCGCTTTTCTCAGTGCTCAGACGCTGGATTGATCGGAATTGCTTGCCCGGCAAAGGCGACGATGTGTGCCGTCACCGACGCTACTTATATCATTTTGAGGAGCCGTCGCGAAGAGATTTTCAGGAGAATTCAGGCGATCATCAGAACTCATCAGATCTTATGCGGGCTTCGTTATCCAGCGATATCCCTTTTGATTTGATCATCGCGGTGTCTGCGTTCGCATACTGATCTACTTTGATTAAGCGACCGTCCAGATGAGGCCGAAAAATGCTAGTAGGAGGCGTCTCAAGCGAAAAGCCCAAAGTTTGGCTTGTGGGCCAGCCAAGAAGTCAAAGAGCGCAGCTGAGCGATCTGCTCTGTATCGGAAGCGACATCGGGAGTTCGGGAGGCTTCATTGCTACATTCTCAAGCTACGAACCATGCTCGCAATGGGGAGAATGGGAGTCTCGGATCTGTTGAGGACATAAGCCACGGCGCTTCACATGAAATGGAGCCGGAGATAGTGCGATGCTCCAGGTATGAGCAGGTATGGGGGCGCGCGACACAACACTTCCGACACATTTAATCGAAATCTCTATCTCAAGCTGAGTAAACTCGTTCCGATCGCGGGAAACGATCTCCCGAAGACTCAGGCGCAAACCACAGTTCTTATTGAACTGCTATCAAAGCCCGTGAACACGACGGTCGATATCCTCGTAGTGGTATTCGACGTGAGGCTACCACAAACTTTCAACAGTCGAGATGGTATCAACCGCGAAAAACAAACGGTTACTGTACTCGACGACAGTATGAAAATGGTGAATCTTGGCCTCTGGTCGGAGTTTGTCGGCAAATTAGATGGAAAAGAAGGTGATGCAGTCATTCTACAGAACCTCCAAGTGCGAGATTACAACGGCACAAGACAACTGTCAACAACCACAAACACAATCATCCGTGAAGCGGCAGGCGATGCCGAAGCAGAAAGGCTTCAAAAATCACAGAATCCGCATAAATCACATTAGATCACCGCGAGTTTATTTCTTCATAAGCAACACAATTATTCCGCAGATTTCCAAGAGTTTGTTGCGTAACCGGGACGTTTTCACGCCCCACCAACGGTAGTGCTTGAGCACTACCTCTTCTTTTTTTCAAAGTTCTCTGAGGGAATGGACTCGGAGGGAGCGTCCCTATATCAGTATCCGATGACAATCAGGGAAAACATCTGAACGCGTGATCGGAGTGAGGGAATATCTTGTGCTACAACACACGGAAGCCGTAGCCAATTCCGTCTAGGACTCGTAAGCTCGGAATTCTTGTTTCGGGACGAAGGATCCTGATGCGAGCCGTTCCAGCTGCTGATCGACGCCCGGAAAGATTCGACGGAAACATGAATAACAATGAATGCGTGGGAAGTATTCGTTGCAGCAGGTTGGCGTTGCGTATTCCGCCCAGATTCCAAGTGGTATCATCTCTGCGAAGCATCCAGCTCGACAGGACAGAAAGGTTCTAAACTTTCAACGCACGCATTCCGATACGTCATCGCAAATCGCGGACAGTTCTCAGACTTTGACCATCCGCTACTCTGGAAACACGCGTGGAGCGATTCGAGATTCGCGGGACTGATTCGGATATATTCGGATCATCCCGCGGGAAAAATATCCGTGATATGCGATCGATATTCCTTCGTGTATGCCGCGAGAGCTCCACTGCAGTTTGGCAATTCTACATCCTCCTCAATGATCACAGCAATCCGAATCCCGATCCGTATCAGGCGGTCTTGCGAGAAGCTTGGGAGCAGCGACGGTCAGGGATCGCTAGGAACATCGAGCGCTAGGTTCAGGGCATCACAGTCTCATCCCGCCCCCGACTTACCAATGGGCCGCCAGAACGGACTGACCTCCAGGTCGCTACTGCCATACCTCGGAGGTACAATTCTGACCGGTGATGTTCGAACAAAGCCCAGAAGCGAAAGTTGAAAACAAACAAATAAATGCGAAGGACACTCACAAAGAGAAGGCGGCCGAGGCAGCATCTCGAGCCCGAGCGAAGGGAGAGCATCTTAATCCATCAAAGAATCGAACCGTATGATCTTTGTTTTGAGCGAGACTCCGTCCCGTCACCACGCGCTCCCGTAAGCAACGTCCATGTGCTTGGAAAATATCCTCGGGCGTAGAAATTGTCATCGTTTTCAGTCGGAGGGTCAGATGACCAGCTGGTTGAGGAGCGCTTCTGCTCTCCACTCCGGCACGCTCAGAACGATCCTCCGGAGGAGTGCGATACTCATGGGAGACAGTAGTCGACGTGATGGTAGTGAACTCACAAGAGTTAAACCGGACGCAATTCTGATCGAATTCAAACATTCCTGATCGAATCAGGTTTCAATAGCCGAATTCTGATGTTGATTATGCCGTTTTCAAATCGCAGTTTTGTCAGGGAGTCGACCTAAGGACCATGACTAGGAAGTGAGGGCTGAACCATAGCATACAGCTGGCCGACTTCCCGGATATATTCGCGAACCTCTTGCGGAAAGCGCGGTGGACGTTGTGGATGTCGGGCTTGCTCCATGGGGAACTTCGACATCCTGCGGATTCTCACGCTGAGTGAGCGCGATGTTTGAAAGTGGTTGACTCGAATAACGGAGAAGTAGTTTTCCGATGATCCGTGAGCCCCTATGAATCTGAACCTGCTCGATATCTCGCGAGTTTCAGGCCTCGATGCTGCTCACGCGCCATGATTCTTTTCTATTTCGACTCTCCGGTATCATAAACGGTGCCAAGGACGGAGTTTGATTTAGGGCGAGAGAGTCAGACGACGCGAACGCAACCTTCGGGGGCCGATGATTTTTTTCGCACCTCGGGCTTCCGCCGAGCCCTACGGATATGAAGGTTGGTCCCCTGTGATGGAAGGCCTCCTTGAGCTATCCACGGGGTTTCCCTCCTAGCAGGGTATACATGAGAGTTTTCGAGAGTCAGGTTGCATCTGGAGGTGTTCCGAAGCTACGGACCGGGACGAATGATTAGAACTGACTCACACAAGTGTTATTCCTGATGAGTCATGAGCCATACGTATCTCGTTTTTAAATGTACCGCGCCCATCGAGCAAATGCTGGAATTCCGCCAGAATTCCGGCTCGCGTACGACACGAGATGAGAATGGCGGAATGCCCTCGAAGAGGTTCTTCATTCCCCCAGCCCCCAGCTTTAGCGTGAAATGTTCGTGGGCGTAATTGTTTGTTCCGCGATTACTCTGAGGGGGCAGTCACCAAAAGTCTCCTCAATATCGCTCAAATGGTCTTATATCGACTGCATGAGGAAGCTTCAGAACGTCAGGGTGGCCACAATTCAGCCTCCGTCATGGGACTTCCACAGCTGGCGCGGCTGAATCTAGTTCGACCTCCTGAACTACTTCTGGTACTCAATGTATGACCCGTGGATGGGAAACCCTCCTCGGAAGATGGGTCCAGATTAGGTCCACACAGAAGAGCATCCAACTGCCGATAAAGACCCTCTCGGAGGAAAGTGAAGAAAAATGACTCACAGTATGTAATGTAGCTCTGTGAGGCGATCTGTCACAGGAACGACTCGACGTCTCCGCTACACGCTACAACAATCGCGCCGATCACCAAGCAAAGACGCTGCACTTCTTTCCACCTGTCAAAGGGTTCAAGATGGAGGACCATACAACAAGTCGGTAAAGTTCCGGTGAGAAGAGCACCGCCGTTTCACGAAAAGGAGATATCTTTACGACTCAATTAGCCGACACTGGAAGGTTCCTCAGAATGCGCATCATGACAGTTGATAAGAACCATGCCACACCGAATATTAGGTAGAGGCGAGAGTTGGCGCGCCGATTGAACTCCCGAATGCAAGTCGAGGTCCAAGAGTACATATCTTCATGCTTCGTTGACTTAGGGTGAGATGGGTCCGCGCTGAGAGTCGCCTCGCTTTACGCGATACTTCCAGGAAGATTATGGTGGAAGCTCCGGTGCGAGCAATGACTCACGGTGTGCTGTGGGCTCCCGCTGCAAAATTTTCATTGGAAGGCGCCTTGTCTATGATCGAGGGGGAACCTGATGCTCGGTCGACCGCCTCTAGGGAATCACTGTCCGTGGTTATCCGGCGGAAGAGAAACTGGAAACTATGAAGACCATGTCTCGCATTGCTGAAATCAATTGCGATTCTCTCATTTTCGATCCGAATCCCCGGGCTGATCATTCTCACGCTCGTTGAGTTCCAAAGGACCCTCTCGAAAGAGCCACTCATTCCAGGCGCACTGGCTATCGAGATCAACTACGCCCACTGACAGACAGAAATGTTCTTCTGGGGGAGTTTTCGCTCATGTCAAGCGGCTTCTCTAGCTCTAGATGCTTCCTCGAAGCCCAAGATTCTGCCGCGATCAGATAGTTCGGAAGAAAAGGCGCCTAGATTAGAGTAGAATTCGACATTCATTCATTATTTGAATAAATAACAAATTAAATATCTACCACATACGAACCAGTGCGAAAATTCCGCACAGTCGCGTCTAAGTATTTACATTACTGCTTTGCACATCAACGTTTCATAGTGATCCTAGCATACACAGCGATTCGAAGCCAATCACTCTCGCCAGGTATGGTACAGAAATCATCATCGTGTACTATGATGTGGCTCTTGGTGAAATCAGCCGTGACCGTCTCGCTGCTTTGCCCACGAAACCTCCTGCCGGGCTCATTCCGGGATAGGGGGTCTATGAACGCCCTTTGCGTTTTTGTTGTGCAGCCTGGGGGTTCGTTTCTTGTTGGTAGGCCTCGAGCAGCGCACTTTGGACGTCGGCGGGCGCCGGCGAGTATCTGAAGGATGAAATGTTTCCCGTCAGAATCACGAGTTCGAGCTCAAAACACATCCGTTCGCATATGAATTGGCTACAAGCGCTCCTGGGACTTGCGACAGGGTCGAGCGCATCATCAAGGTCGAGGCTATATCATCGCGCAACGAGATCGAACGAATTAAACATCGTAGTGATTCGGAAATGAGCGGAGACCGATGTGGGAGCGTCATCTGGACAAGGAGCGCAAATTGATCAACTTTCCAGCGCTGTTGTCTGGTCCCTAGGTTTGCCCCCAAGAGACAGAAGTCCGCTTGTATGGTTTTGCATAGACGACGCAGCATACAATGATTGATGACTCGAAACTTTATCCGATATTCATCGGACTTGGCGATTGGAGCCGACAAATCGCTACTGACCTGCAGTATTCCATGGTGAATTCTCCCTTGCCCTGAGTCAGCGTGCGGAGTTCCGTCGAATATCCGAACATTTCGCTCAGAGACACTTCGGCGGTGATCGTACTCCACCCTTCCAGCGAATCAGTAGAAACGATGAGTCCACCCTTCCGAGAGATCGACGCCATGACCTGCGAGGAACTCACAGCTACATTAAAGGTTCTTGTCCAACCTGGATACGGATTACTATCAATCTCGCTGTGGAATTTGTAGATATTGACTGTAAACTCACCCCTCCCTGGTATTCCTCGGGCAGTGCCACTTCTATCGACATGATCGGTTCCAGGATGTGCCATGACCCACGCTCGTAGCACTGTTTGATTGCTCCTTGTGCTGCCATTGAGAACGCTAGATCGCTCGAGTCAACGATGTGATGTTCACCGTCGATCAAGCGGAAAGTAACGCCAGAGATCTTCTGACCTGTGAGGGAATATGAAATATGACCTTTGGGTATCAAACATGAAGTCTCTTAAGACTCACCGTTGATCGGTTCGACAATCATCCGAATCTGTGACGTTCAAATGACGATTCGCAAGCTCACCTATTAGACACCCTTTTTCGCACATCAAGAGAAATCCTTTCTTGATAGACGGAACGTAGTTTTTAGGAATGTTCGTTCCGACGGTCGCATCGATGAACTCGAGCTGTGAGAGAGAAAATGTCAGTCGTCTCTTGACGCCTCCCCACACAATGGCCGTTTCGCGGAAAGGATTCCGCGGTGCTCAAATCATTGCGTAGCTCGGCGACCGAATATCCGGGATTTCCCCCCTGGCAAATTTCCAACCTGAGTGTTCTTAGCTGGTGGGAGAGGTTCCAGAACTCCGATGACTCTTCCGAATTGACCGGCTCCTCCGCTCTGTTTCTTGTGCAAGAAGTCGAACTCAACCGGTGCCACAAGCGACTCCCTGCGAAGAGGAAAGGTCGTCTACAAGTTAGAATCTCTGCGGAGATCCTTCCATCTTATTGCTCTAAATATCGCTGAAACATTTCTGCGCTCACCTGAACGCGACTTTGGGCTTTCCGAGGGCAACTGGACAGTTGTATTCTCTCTCCATTCGCTGCGCGTAGATCTCCAGATGAAGTTCGCCCATACCGCTCGCGATTGTTTCCCTGCTCTCCGCGTCGTAAGTAATCCTAACAAAATTCAAAGATCGACCTCTCATTAGGAGTGGCGTTCTCGATTCGAGAGCTCGCTTGAAACGACGAGATTGAGACGACGTCGTTCTCGCACCTGAATGTCGGGTCCTCTCTGACGAATCGGTTGCAAGCTTTGGAGAAATTGTCCGCGTCTTTCTTATCTTGCGGCTTGAGGGACATCGATATGACTGGCTCCGGTATGAACATTGATTCCATAGAGACGTTCGCGGCTTTGTCACCAACGAACGTGTCTCCTGAAGCACAATCCACGCCGAACACCGCACAGATGTCACCTGGAAGAATCAGTTTTTTCTGTCAGCTGGACTCGATTGTTGAATTCGGGATCGAACAAGCGACTGCAAGAATAGATCACGATTGTACTCCAAGGCCTCCAGGAAGAAGATCAGAGCTTAATGACATACTTTCTGGGGGAGTGGGGGATTGCATACCTGCGTGAGCTTCCTCGATTTCCTGCATCTCAGACGAGTGCATCCGGACGATTCTTGGGATTCGAACTCTTTTACCCGTTCTAGAATTGTACAAACTATCCCCCTTTTTGAAGCTACCCTGGTACACTCGAATATATGTGAGCTGACCGAATTTTCCTGCTTCGAGCTTGAACGCCAGACCGACGAATGGTCCCGCTCCGGGGCCGCGCGTGGGATCCATCCGCTTGCGGTTTTCTCCTGGGATCGGATGAGGAATCTTAACAACGACGAGTCCGGGAGTATTATTCGAGAATGGGTCACACACGGCTAATAAACGCCAGATGGAATCGAGCAAAGCATGGTGCATAGTGGAAGGTCTGAGAGCTCACCTTCAAAGGCAAAATTCTCAACTTCACTCGGGTTGGGGAGATAATCGATCACGGCGTCGAGGAGCGGCTGGACTCCCTTGTTTTTCAGAGCCGTCCCCATCATCACAGGGAAGAACTTTCTGGAAATCGTGCCCCGGCGACAGGCTGCGTCGATCTCATCCACTGTGGGGACTTTCTCTTCGAGGAAGAGATTTCCCAAATGCTCATCGGCGTTTGCGAGGCACTCGATCATCTCCTGTGGATCATACACAAGCTCAGGAACCCGGGAAGGTGTTTCGAATTCCATTTGACCGGCCATGATCGGCTCGAAAATCTAGGATGGGAGTTCGCGGATCAATGAGAGCCCACCTGACGCTTGTCTTTGCTCTGGGCGCGGAGGTCCGCAGGAATCTCGTCGTATCGAACATCGTCGCCGTTGCTCCCTTCGAAGTAGATCGCTCTCTCCCTGATGAGATCCACAACTCCTTTCTGTTGGCTCTCAAGACCGATCGGGAGTTGGATGAATGCTGCGTTGTAGCCCAGTTTCTGCTTTACTTGAGACAACACCCGATTGGGGTTCGAGCCCTGACGATCCAGTTTGTTGATGAAGGTAATACAAGGCACATTGTAGCGTTTCATTTGTCGGGTCACGGTTAGCGTCTGGGATTGAACTCCCCCAACCGCGCACAGCACCAAGATGGCTCCATCGAGGACCCTGAAGACCGGATGAAGTGAAGCCGGATTATTCACCTCGAGATTTCGGATGCCCCTCTCCCCTTTTCTCCGCCTTCCGGCTTACACCACCAGCCGCTTCTCGCTCTCAATCAGGTATATGTTGGACCTCCGGAAGTCTCGGCGGGCGAACTGACCTCAGCGCGCGTTCTACCTCCACGGTGAAGTCGACATGACCCGGCGTATCGATGACGTTCACGGTGTGGTTGTTCCACGTTAAATGAGTTGCCGCACTCTGGATCGTGATTCCGCGTTGTCGCTCGAGCTCCATAGAATCCATGACAGCCCCCACTTTGTCCTTTCCTCGAACCTGTCAAAAGAGGGGACTCAGTCAGTATTCTCTTCTACGTGACCTTCGCTTGGATAATTCGAACGAGACGGATGGATCTCGAGATTCTCGCTCCTCTTCTTGGCGCGAGCTCGAAAGCTCGGAGGGGAACTTGTAGCGGGAGGGACGAGTTGGGACGAATTCCTTCGACGACTTGGGACCGAATTATTAATCTTCGGAACGGCTCAGCCATGGGTTCTATGTTCGGCTTCTCCGGTTGCAGGGACTCTGGGTTCTTTCCACCAGAGCAGAATTTGAGACCCCACGCGGTAGAAGAACAATTGGGTAATAGTTTCTTCGAGTCCTCTGCACCGACATCAAAGGTTCCGCGCAGTCCAATACCTCATGCATTTCGTCGATTCTGCCGGTATAGAAGAGAAGTCTCTCGGTGAGTGTTGTCTTTCCGGAGTCGATGTGAGCCGAAATTCCGATGTTCCGGATTCTCTCGACAGGCTCCAGCGTCACGCTGGAGCAAAACCTCCGGATTCCGAGTGAGCACGCGCGCAACATTCTTGCGACGACCCCGTGTTCTTTTCTCGCTCGCGATCCTCGCAGTAGTCGACCCTCTGCTAGAACACACACGGGTCGCCGACGGACCGCTCAGCTGTTAGTGCTCGATTTCCCCAGCGACTCGGTATATCGACCAGGATAATGAGACACGGAGCCTAAGAACCCCATGAGTAGCTGCTCGCCTGGCGGATACGCGGAGGCTCGGATAATTAAGTTGCAAAATTGGCGCATTCGAGCGTCATAGAATCACTGAAGCGGGCTTTGAACCCCGTCGGTATTTGGAATCTGGCGGGCTATAAGCCATCCAAGATGGTTGCTGACGAAGTCGGCCATATTTGTTGACGACTTTAGGAGTTTCGCGGCTGCTCTATTGGGAGTGACAGTTGTTGGGAAGGCTTGAGTTTCAAATACGCCCATCGCCATGGATGACACCGTCGGAGCCTCAGACAATGAAAAGGTTTGGAATCCTTGAAAACCGATCGTCTATGGTGGGGTCCTCCCTTTGCAAATAGATGCCTTCTTCAAGTGACACTGTGGAACGCTCGGAGCACCGCCGGCTTCTCTCCACTGGTTGTACGGACCGAGAATCCCTGGAAGCATGGACCTATTGCATAAACTCCTCGACGCGTCCTTTTTGGTTTTCGGGAATCTCATAATGGCCCTGGATACAGAAGGGCTCCGGATCTGTTTCGTTAGGATCGACTCGAGTCGGATCGCGACCCGAAGGTTGAACCTGGACCGACGGCATGACAAGTGTTTAGTTGTGCATCGACTTCCACCTCTCAGACGCTCCCCGGAAAGGAACTTGTAGAACTTATTCTAAAAAAGGCTGCGGAGAGGCCCTCGACGAAATGTTCAGACCGTGGTGCCTCCGAAAGCTCCGAAGGCCTCCGACGAAATTCGGAAACCCGCTCGATTCCATAGCTCTGGGTTTCTCTATATTCGTTCATCCGGGAGGATCAATTTGGGAGCAAGACGAGAATGACTCGTAACTCTCCCTCATCCGGACCGATTGCTCATGTTCGGCAGGTTGGTCAGTCCCCAGCAGAATGCTCCTCAAGTCGATAGGCCGACGTTGCCCGGCGCATTCCACGGCTCTGGTTCGATTGTGTTCGCGGGCGACGATCGATGTTGTCTGGATCCGAAAAACGATCTCACAGCTGATCTAATGAAGAGTCAATCCGGTATCAGCCCATCCAAGGCTCGGATGTGGTTGCATTACTAACGATTGCGGTCCTTTTGATTATGACTAACTGTTCAACTGACCGCGTTGGACGGTCTTCCAGCGCATGCCGTCGCAAGGATTGAATCCATTAGCTCGCATCGAGCATGGTCAGAGATTGATTCCGTTTCATCTGCTCAAGTTCGAAACCGTCGCAAACGACGCGCCAATTGCGTGATGAGGGCCTGTCGAGAGTTCTTGACGAGGGGTCGGGGATCATGAAGAAGTCGGCTAATATTCACAGCTCTCTGATTCTGCGGCCGACAGATGGGGTTATTCGGACAATTATTATTGAACTGCGTTGTTCATTCCTCGGTCGTTGGCGTTCGGAAGCTCTCGTCAGATTCACTCAATTCGGGATTGCGAGCCACTTCGTTGGAAGTCCTCGCTGCTCAGCTCAGTGTTGCGTTCACACAGCGTTACGGAACACTGACGTCGGACGTCGTTTGTGCGCCAGGCGTATTTCATCTCCGGCTTTACATGTACTCTGCGGGGCTGTCAAGTCATTTTTCTGAATGCATGGTGGAAGCGTTGCGACGATTTCCAATTTCTCGGTGTTGATCCATCACCCCAAGGATCTGAGTCATGACGTCATGACCGTGATTAATCTTGCCCAGAGTTGATATTCGACGCTCTCAGGCACCACCAGTGCCTAAGCAAGAGTATAATCATCTAGGGTTTGTGCTCGACTTCAGTTCGCCAGACGGAGAACATTACGGTTTTTTTTTCTTGCCCGTTTCCAGATCAAAATCATCAGTGGTTTCATGGGACTGTGCCCTCCGGGCGAGTTCAACGAGGTTTTCAATGGTAAGTCAACTGAACTCGAGTTAGGCTGATATTGAATCTCTCCGCGAAAGAAATAGGCGAAAAATTTTAAAAAGCCTCATCCCTCATCTGGCCCAGGGATCTCGTCTCCTAATCCTTTCGGTTTCAGATTGCAGGGTCCTGGTCGGCAATGATGAGCTCCTCAAGAAGGCTGCCTCAAGGTTGGGGAAATCTTCTCATTGAGGAATCAATGCTAAAAATATGGTGTTCCCTAATCGAAGTCTGAAGCAACAAAGACGACTTCTCGAAATTAACATCTCAACGCTTGCAGCACAATCGCTGAATATCATATGGATCAGCTGACGCCGTGTACCATTGGAGGCTTCCCGGATAAAAGTCTCGTCACGCACTTCAATGCGTTACCCGATAGCAGGTTAGGAGTCGTTTGCAGACCATTCCGGGACGTCCGTTCGAGCCGAACAGAAATGCATGATCGATCCCGGAAATCCTCTGGAATGATACAATCTCCTCTCGAGAGTTCCCTCATTGACATCGAGTTCACTTCGCCAGATATTACGACCCTCGTCAGAGAGTGTCCTTCCGATTCGACCACTACAAGCGGGAAGCGATGGATCCACAACCCATGGAATCCAGCCAAACCGACACTGCCGCTCTTAGAGCTTCCTTAGATGAATTCTGGTCCACGTACTGCCTGGCGCATTACAAACACGGAGTTTCGGCAGTTTTTGACCAAAGCGATAACGAGAAGCAAGAGTTCGTTCTTTGCATCGAGGATCACCAGTTTCAGAGCCATAATTATTGGTAGGTTTGCGAGTGCATAACGGGTCTGAATTAGTAGGGAGCTCGACCCGCTCTTGAGCAAGCAAGGAACGATTATGAAGGTCCTTAAGGCGTTCTTCGTCCCGCGCAGGAACGGTCGGTGGCGTGGTGTCTGGACAGTCAGTCTTCAAGAGGGCCGAGCCGCGATCAAAGGCACAATCAAGGTTCAGGTGCACTATTACGAAGATGGCAACGTGCAATTACAAGCGACCAAGAACGAAGACTTGACCGTCAATGTCGAAAATGACAACGTGGCGTTAGCACAGTGTGTCGTGAATGCGATTCGCGATGCTGAAGGCAAATACCAGGACTCGATAAACGAAAACTACAAGTGGATGAACGACAAAACTTTCAAAGCTCTACGACGGAATTTACCTTTGACGAGATCGAAAATTGACTGGCAAAAAATCCTCAGCTACAGGTAAGCCTCATCGGATGCCCTATAATCATATTCATCTCTGAGCGATAGAACTCTCTGGATCTGGAGCTTGTCGGTCTCGTTCGTCGAAGAAAAAAAAATCTGCCGGCGGGAATTCCGCAGTCAGTGACTCTGAATTTTTCAGCTCAGAGAATTTTTTTTTCCGAATTCCAGGGTTGCTTCGGAAATCAGTAACAAGCAACAATAACTGGGGATTCACACGTTTGATTGAGCAAACATTTCAAGACACAGCCGATTTCTTCATATGATATACAAAAAAAACGAGAACAGTGTCTACCGCGACGTACATTTCTATGAAAATGCAAAAGAAAAATCTTTGATTGAGGCGTTTTAAATATTAGCTATTTAGAATCAATCGACAAGGGGCTCCTCCGTCTAATGCACTCAGCCAGCGTGATTTCATACTGCCTTCCATGCCTCGGAGCAATCAGAGCTGCTGATTCACTTCGAGAAGACAGTCAGAGATTCGACTCTCTCCCCTGGGGAGCGAATCCCGTTTCGATAAGGTGTCTCAGTGGATGATCTGGAATAATCCTTTTGTAGTTCGTGACCTACATCGAGGAATATCTCACCGTTCAAGAGCTCTCAATACATTTTTTATTCTCAGAGGAATTCCATGTTGACTCAGTAGTTCTCGAGGGGAAGAAGTGTCTATACATTATTCACCGATTCAAATACCCTTCTTGACGGGCTTCGGGCAGACGTAGACCCGCACTGGTTTGCAAAGCTCAATGAAATTGTCTTCTGAAGGATTCAGTCCGGCGAAACTCAACACGATATTGATTTCTACGTGGAGCGCCTCGCTCCACACGCCATGCGAGAGGAGGACTTTGGTGTATAATCGTTGTCGGTCATTTTCGACTTGTCGGAAGTCCGAGCGTCTCGGAATAACGAGTTGCTCCTGCTTATCCGGATATTTGACCCGGACGCGAATCAGTGACGTATCCGCCACGTTCTCCAAGTCGCAGTCGAGAGTCACGGCCACGACCAGACCGGCTTGGAATTTTATGGGAATGTCCTGTTCACCGGTGGGCTCGTTGATTGTAGCGTTCGCTTGACGTATCCTCTTCATGTTGTCGTCCAGGCCACGGAGAGTCAAGGTGTTCGGTGTGGCCAGATGGTTCAGAAGAGGCGCTACAGCTCTGCAAACGGAGCCGGGTCTCGTGTCGGAAAGCGTGTCCAGCTCTCGCAAGACGCTCACGGTCCAAGGTTCGGGGTCCAATTTGTACTCTTCGAGGAACGTCTGAAGTCGATCGACCTGCAGCAGGAAAGCTTCGCATAGGCCCAGGGCCGACATATTACAGCCTCGGATAACGATGACGAGATGCAGCGCTCGGAGTCGAAGCCACAGTTGCCGGACAGCTGCGATTTCGGGCGGAGTCAATCCGATAAACCGGTGCTCGAGAATGTAGGCCTGTCGGAAAAGATCGTCCAGGATTGCTTTGAGAGCAGGGCCCATGGGTTGGGTGCTCTGACTGAGATCCAACCAGGACCGATTGGTCACGACCTGTGTGATCATCGACTGGCATCTGATAAAAATTCTCATGCAATCAGCGCCCGCGGCCAACTCCGGTTCCATTTCAGCAAGTTTCTCCAGGTCCTGTATGGCGGCCTGCAGCCACTGGTGACGAAATTCGTTCGACGACCCGGGTAGATTGGAGACACGCTGAAGGACCTGCTGCAGGAAAGTCGCGCTCTGCTGGAGTGAAGACCCTGAGGAAGTCTTCGACGCCGCGAGGATCTGACCGTTTTTGAGAGGTAGCTCGAGGTACGGGACGAGATGTGGCATCGAATCCCTAAGATAAATGTAGTGCCTGAGGGTATGCTCTTCAAGCAGGGGCAGCATGGTGGGGCAAGCGGCCGCAGCGTTGAAAACCAAAATCAATATAGCGATGTATCGCTTGTCCTCCACATCGGGTTCCGGGAGATCCAGATAGGGATGAATGTTCAGGAGCTTGGGCACCAGCGCTAGGGTGATGTGCGGGTTGCACTTCCCGAGTGCCATGAGGCACTTGTAAATACTCTTACGATCTTGCGGATACCGCCGGAGATTCTCGAGCAACGCCTCCACGCAGGCGTTGAGACTGGTCGTTGTCCTGATCCTGCAGTGACACAGCATACGATGCAGAGCTTCCCGAGTGTACATCGAAAAGTCCTTCAGAACCGACAGCACGGTGTCCAGCTGATCGTCCCGTAGGACGTGGGCGTGGCCCATCTTCTCCAGGACATCGATCGCTCTCAATCTCACGTCCTCTATCTCGTCGTTGAACATGTCAACCACGAAGTCGAGCGAATGCGAGGCGAATGCTGCGAAACGCACGGCGAGGCTGCAGAGGGCTTCGAGCGAGGCAAGCCGAACTTCAAGGAACTCGTCCTCCAGGGAGTGGACGAAAAACCCACAGGCTCCTTGGTTCATCAGACTGACCGCTTCTTCGTCCACCAATTCCCGGGGAGCGTCGTCCTGCCACTTCTGTCCAGAGGACCATTCGCCGGCCTGGAAAGCTTCCCGTCGCCTTTCGTGCGCCGAGGCTTTTCGTCGAAGGTTGGACATTAGTTTCTTGTCCAGGGTTTGTTCTAGGAAACTCGGTGAGACCTCGTGCATCTGACCGAGCAGATTCGCGGACAGTACTCGCACGTTCATGTTGATATCGTTTATCATTTGACAGATCATCGCAAAAGCGTGGTCGTACAGGTGTATGTGTTCCCCAGAGCCACCCTCGACCTCGACCTGTTCCCGACCGTGGACTTGCGCCATGGCCTGCACCAGACGCATGGAGACCATCCGAACGTTCTCGAAGTCGTCGTTGAGGCCTCTGCAGGCCTCTCTGTAGAAAGAAGCTTCGAGAGGAATGTTCCTCTTGTGCAGCAGTAGGATGGCTTTCAGAGCCGCGGTGCGAACCCGGGGGTCTTGATGTCGAGTGTACTTGATCAGCGTGGCCATGACAGTGTTTTGGATTTCGGAATCAGCCGCCGTAGAGGGCACCAGTCGAGCGAGCCATTTCAGGACCCTGCTCTTCACCAGATGTGTTGTATCGTTGAGACCTTCCTCGATGAGTTTCATGCAGCGGAGCTGACGAGGCCGATCATCCTGCGACATGGCGTCTTCCCCCACCGCTACGATTGCATCCATGAGAGCGGCGCGCACAAGGTGAGAAGATTCCGATGATGCGAATTGCGCCAAGTCGTCCAGGCGGTTCGGGCACAAGGCTGGGAGCAAGCTGACGATTTTCGCTCTCACAGGTGTTTCGGTCTCCCTGGAATGAATGATTGAATGAATAAATGAGGAATATTGATGAATAAATCAATCGACCCACTAATCGATGTTGTCGGAGAGAGCCACGAGTGAGCTCAGCCGGGGCTCATCCCGAGGTTCCCCGGAATCAGGAAAATCAGACTTCAGGACCGACTCCATAAATCAAGCAGAAGTGGACCTACTTCTGATAGTGATCGATGAGGATTTTGTACATTAGCGCTCGTTGCTCAGCTTCTTGCGGCAAAGACCGCTCGAGTCGAAGCAGCACAGAGAGCCTTTCACTCTGCTCCTTGCTCTTGAGCGTGTCACACACCTGGGGGGGAAATAGTCGAAAATTTTCAAAGAATGTCTCGAGCAGCGATACCGAAGCTCTGGCCGAAAATCGTTCAAGTCTTCGTACTCTATACTCACATGCTGTGCTTTCGTTGTTTGGGTCTTTTTCGTCAGATGCAACTTCTTCAGTGGTCGGTGTCTCGGTTCCTCTTGTATAGTTTGGGAATATTCGGCCAGGGCCCGCTTTTTCAGGAGGGCCGCCATACCGACTTATCCTCCGTCGGCTTGCGGTATGCAGGAGAGCGCTTGTTCTGGTAGGCTTGCCTGTCGCCGAGAATCACTTCACATCATGACTGTCAGGCATATTCTACCGAACACCATGGTTGAACAAAATATCAACATGTGTTTATGTGTTTAGAATAGAGTCTACTCTCCCCCACACCGGGAACCTCTCTCCGATTCCAGACACGGTCGTTCTCCCACGGTAAAATAGTCCGTCCGGCTCCGGGAATTCTCGGTGATGAGTACCCGGAAATCAAATGACATATACCGATCCTCGGGCTTAGATTCTCGATCTGCCCGGAGACGTGATCTTGGAATTCTCCCACGACAAACCGATCGCCTCGGGTTTGGCGTATGTCTGGGATTTCGTCCGCTGCGTTTTGAAATTCGTTCTTCGGCGGCGCAAGAGTCTTCATCGTCGCGAGTCGATTCGGATGTTTCAGTCGCTAGTTCATTAGATCTCATCGATGGAAATGTTGGAGCGTTGCTGAGCGGGGCACATCTCAGTGAGGGTTTCAAGTCTCGAACGGGGGTTCCAATCCGCGAGAATGGAGAGGTGAGTCCCCTAGGAAGTTCCGCTTACGCCGGTGGTGCACAACACGAGGGAAAATTCGAACGTCGCGTCGTCGGAGTCGAGACCATGCGAAATCCGACGCCGAGCTGAATGTGGCAGCCACTTTCATAAGCTTCTGAGGCCGCTTAGTTGGTGGCGATGTGGACGCGAGACGAGAGAAACGACCGAGATTCATGAGAGAATTGGTGAATGCAAGAGAACTCAGACGGCAGCTCCAGAGCAGGGCATGGGGCACTCCCAAGCGCGACGGGAGACACACTTCCCCGGGCGGGCTTTACGGTCGTTGGAATCGCCCGATTCCTTGGTGAGGATCTATGGTGTGGCCATTGAAGTCTAATTATGTGACCTTGTCATCCATAGGTTTGATTCCCACCTCGGCGATCGGATGGATTCTGCCCAGCTGGCAGGATGTATCAGCATGTCTGTCGACCCGAGCGTGCCCGCCGCCCAGAGACGTCTCGCCCTGGAAGCTTTCGATAGATACAAGGAAGACCCGTCATCGATCAGTATGGCTTCGACTCTCTGCCGGAGCGCTAGCCCGGACCACGTTCGGCATGGGGCCTTGGTCCTGCTCGAGTACTGGGTGCGCGTCCACTGGACCTCCTTGAGTATCGAGCAGCACAATTACCTGAAAGAAGAGGTGTTCTTTTACATGCGCAACTTGAAATGCATCCTGTCCGAAGCCCCTCATGTCAAGCAAGCCATTTGTCGAGTCGTCGTCGAGATCGTCAAACGCGAATGGCCTCAGAAATGGCCAGAATTCATGCCGAACCTCCTGAATCTTGCCAACACCGGCATCGCTCAAACCGAAATCGTGTTACTGGTGCTGCTACGAATCGTAGAAGACGTCATGCAGCTGAAAACTCTCGGAGACATGCCGCGGAGACGCAAGGACATTTACCAGAGCATCATATCCGGCCTAGGGGACTTGATGTATTTCTTATTCCGTGTGCTAGATGCTCATTATTTGGTGCCGCCAGACGCGCCGGAGATGCTGAAGAAATCGAGGATAAAACTCCTCGAGAGCTTGCTGATAACGCTGACGGGTTTTATCGAGTTCGTTCAATTCAAGGATTTCCCTCTCGACGAAGTCATTCGGAAGCTCTGCGTTCTGCTCAACGATCCGCAGCTCCGAGTTCTCGCTGCAAAGTGTTTATACGAGGTTCCTGAACGCAAACTGAAAGGCGCGGAGTTGCAACAGCTTTGCGAGAAGTTCCTGCAGGCCGACATCATGGCAGAGATCCTAAGGAGTGCCGCCGGCAGTCTGAGCGCCGACACGAGCGAGAACCACGCATTTCTTCTCGCGCTCTGTGGGGTTATCGCGGGAATTTCGAAACAGGTCTCGTCGTACATCATGGAAACCACTAAGTTCGAATGCCCACCGTCCTTCGTCGAGTTGGTCATGGCCGTCAACAAATTGTGCCAACATCAGAGCTGCGCCGTGGCACGCGTTGCTCTCGGAGCGATGATCCCGCTCATGAAAATCCAGCAGAAAGATTCCGACAAGCTCGTGTATCCCGATGAACTATGGCACGATATCGCCTGCACTGTCGTCAATCGATCGTCGTCCGATGACTCGCAAATCTCAGCGTCGAATTGGGACTTCGAGGAGGAGTCCGACATGCGCAAGGCCTTCGGCCTTTTCAAAGCCGAGCTTGCCGAGCTTCTGCGACTCGCAACGGTCCTCCGGCCCGGCATTGTCCTGAGCCAAGTCGGCCTTGGACGTTTGAGCGATCTCCTGCAGAAACCTCCGAATGAATACGAGTGGTCGGCGATCAGTCGATACTTTGATGTCGCGTGCTCCACGGTTCTCAAAGAGGAGATCGACATCGGTGATATCGTTACGCAACTCATGGCCGCCTATGATCGAGTGCTGCCGATGAGATTCGCCGATTTCAAATGCCAACACCATGCCATCTCGTGCTGTTCCTCGATGCTCACGGTTATTCTTCCCAAGGACGCCGAGGACATCCGTTTGGGCAACATGCTCGATGCGATCTTCTGGATGGCGACGTACGAGATACCGGGACAAAATCGACAGACCCGTTCGAACGATGTGCGGGATTTCAGGAAGCACGGAACCGCTCTTCTAGTTCGGCTCGCTGTGGATTTCTATGAGAGACTGGTGAAGCATTTCGACAAGATCCGATCCTTAATCGCGCGGAGCCTCACCCCGGATTCCAGCATGCTGCAGCGCCAGCATTTCATCGAAGCTCTCCTGATTATTTCGAACGGGCTCAATGATCCGGCCGCTCAGCTCTCGATATCGGAGCAGATACTCTCGGAGGAGATTTCGTTCTTCGTGGAAAATTCCGATCTCAGACTGGCGCTCACCGATGTCCAGAATTTCGCGGCGTACCTGGGCCTGCTCAGTGTCGAGGACTTCGAGAGGAGGACCGAGAATCGGAAAGTTTTGAGCGGCAAATTGATGAGCATTACAGGAGCTCTGAAAAGATGCAAAAGCGTCGCTGGGCGTCATGCCGTATTCGAACTCGTAGCGCGGACGTGTCTGAACCGACTTCTGAAAATACTCTGGCTCTTCAAAGATTTGTTCGCGCAGTCCATCGTTCATCCCGACCTCGTTCAGAGCATCCTGTGTCTTGGAGAGAACGAAAAGTATATGATTTTCGGCTCGAATCTCCCGTGCTGCTACTTCCCGGAGCCCCGCGTTCCACAAGCTCGAACTTTCATGACGAATATCCAGGAAAACCTCACCTTGTTTTTCGTGGCGATCTCGTACCGAACCGAATTTTACTCGTTACGAGAAGACATGGGCAACATCATAATCAATGGATTCCAGAATCTCCCAAATTACAAGATGCATCAGTATATCCACCTGATCGTGAAGTCATTCGTCAAAAACTGTCCCGAGCACCTCCTCTCGCGTCAACTTTCGTCGACTTTTATCCCGATGATGTCCGTAATATACGGTTATTTAAAACCGAGGTGGGACAGCCAGAGGAACTTCTGCAAGGACGAGGAGACGGGAGCAACATTGGAGGAGCTGATCGATGATCAAGTCACTCATCTGATGAGTAGAGACTTGATCGAGATCACCTCGTATTTCGTCATTGACTCTTCAAAGCCACCATCGGTGAAGACCAGCGACGAAGTGGGGGCTGAAGTCGTGGCTGCAATGAAATCGTTCGGCGCTGAACTCCTTGCCGACGGAGACGCGTGTCGCTGTGTGGTGACCATCGCGTTTTCTGCTCTGTACGCGGGAGATTCGCAGACAAGTTTCAAGAGTATTGCCCTATGTAGTACGCTCGCATTTCATCTTGTGCGACAAGAGATCAGTCCGATGATCGAAGAGCTCTGCGTGTTGATGTACAAATCGCTTCTCTTGTCTCTCACTGTTCACGGTGATAACGAGGCTCAAGCGCCGCTGTTATTGACGCTGGGAGTCAACCTATACAGATGGCTCGCGCCTTGCGCAAGACAACACTTACACGAGTTATTGCTAAGTCTCGGCGTCCGAATCGATTTTATAGAGAAATTTGAGGCGACATTCGTTCCGGAGATTGCGATATCAGCGCGCAGACGGAAGGATACGTTCCGAGCCATGGTTGAGCACCTGCTGGGAACGAGCGTTAGCGAAATGGGAAAACATCAAGTTCTCATAAAAGATCATGAGCCGCTCTGGAAAATGCCGAAAGCCGAAGCTGGCCCGATCGACTCCCTGGATATCGATCGTCTGTTTCCTGATTCAAACGTTTGAGGACAGGACGAAATTCCTAGGGAACATTTTTTTTTCAAAAAATCCACCGTGATAAAGGATCCCAAGAGACTTGGACGGTATCTCCGAACGATCATCATATTCTCCTACGTTGGCAAATGATACTCCTTATGGACGAAACATTTGATCTCTGAAACCGAACTGCACAAGGATTGTTTTCTACTATGGTCTCGACAGATGCTGTGTACTGTTACATTCCGAGGGATGAATTGTCCTCCTCGATTGAACCGCGAGTTCTTTTAGATTGCGAATAAAAAATACCGGGAATCCGTTCCCGGTCGGCAAGATGTTCCGCCTTATATCTCAGATAATTTTCCCGACCTTGTTCGCATGCGTATTGTCCATATATTCAACGAGCCACAAGCATATTCGATAAGCGGGGTGACTCGAAAAGTCTCCAGTAGGAGATTTTTCACGCGGGTTATACCGAGAGATGAACGAGCTTTTTCTGAAAGCAACCTCCGAAACGCCCGCTGGGCACTTCTGAACGAGTCGGCCTTCCGGAGTCGTAACCCCGTCATCCGCCTCAGGCGGAGATAGAGCTCGAAAAAATTTCGCGTCCTTAATCCTCGTAATGAATGGTTCGGGAACAAATTCGAGATATCACGGATCCTCGCCTGATGATGATCAGGAATCGATACTGCGTCACGTACCTACGCATTGTCTGCCGATGAGGACTTAAGGAGATCTGGCGCACCTGGAGCTTGCTGAAACAATGAGCCACTTCGCCTGGGGACATGCGTCGTGATTGAAACGATTATTTGCGAGACAATAGAGATTGATTCCTAGTTTTTTATTGCCATTGATACCTCCCTTGAGCCCATTCCCCCATTCTATTGCAGTTCGATCGACGCGGAGCACAACGACAAATCCGAAGAGTCGGCAGATGACGTGGTTGCCGAAGTCGATGTGGTACTCTCGGATGAGCTCAAATCTCTATATGTCCTCCAGTACCCATACAAAGTCCGGGACATACCGCCGTATAGCACCGACGAGATCCAACACATCAAATTCAAGCCCGAGCGGGAAGAACTCCAGATACAGTTGGGTACGTTCCTGGTTCGCAGCGAAGAGCAACGGAGTAGCTCTCGATGCAAACAATCCGATAAGGTGATTCCGACCGAACTCCTAATCGTGTGCAGTCAGAGAAAACATTTAGGATTTCCGTTTCCTTTACAGCTATCGACACCCGAGGGGTCAACTACGACCGACGGAAGAGCGAAGCTATCGCAGTGGAGGCGAATAAAGGTAACGAGGTCCCTTATTTCGAGTCGGGCTTCGTCGACAAACAACTCATCACGTCGAGCAAACCGATGCCGGTTGGGAACGATCACAACCTCGCCGTGGGCAGGTTCGAGAGGCTACGCGACGATGAGGGCAAAGTCATCAGGTCGGTCCTGCACCTGACCCCAGTGAGGAATGTGCTGGAGATGAAGGTCAGCTGCGAATACCTCGACACCCAGAAGACTCAGAAGGCGGAGGAGAGCAGTGAATCGAAACCGATCACGGTCCGCTTCGCGGGTAGAGAGAGCGATCGAGTGAAAGCGATCAGGCAGCGAGCCTATTCTCAAATTGTGAAGAATAGTAAAGAGGAGCAATGGGTCAATATGAGTTTCCGCGACATGGAGAGCCCCGAGGCCGACCAGCTGCGCATGCAGATGCTCTGCGGGAACTCCGTCAATGACAACTCTAGTATTTTCAACGTGAAGAATCATGAATACGCCACGGCGCTGACCGCTCAGCACGCTGCTGGCCTCCGAGGGGATTCCCTACAGAACGCCAAACGAAAACCTGTCACGGACCAGGTCGCCTACATTTTGTGCAATACGCATGTGATCAGCTTCAAGAAGCTCTGTGAGATTCTCGAGCCAGACGTTGAGCCTGCACAGGTCCTGAGAGCGGTCCAGCAATGCGCTTGCCTCGTCCAGGGGAATTGGATTATGAAAAGTGAGATCCTCTATCCTAAGGATAGCTTCAGCAATATTCTCGGAATTTCGGGTGCGATCATGCGGCGGTCTCGGAACTGCCTCTTGATCATGTTGAACAGCTCGTTAGAAGTCACCGGAAGTTCCTTGAGAGACAAGTTACGGATTCCTCACGAGGAGTTGGAGGATATGTTGTTGAAATTGACGAATCACGTCGGTCCTGATACATATCGGTTGAAGTACGAGCGAGACGATGAGTTCATCCGTACGCATGCCGACGTTGTGAATAGACAGAAACTCATCTGGGAAGCTATGATGAATGTGTAAAAATAAAAATGCGAGTCATTTGTCGAATATACAAGCTGCCTCATGGGTCAACTGAGAATACATGGGTTCCGAGAATCACTTACTCCGGAAGACATTGGAGAACAATAGTCTTGATTACGTTTATCGTGAGCCATGGTCTGCTTCTTGCGTGTCTGACACCAGAATAAAAAGGTACAAATTATGACTTTCGGAAATTCAATCGCAGCCATCCTTCGACAGAAGGGCATCTGGATTCGCCGCCGCGTCGCGGGAAACTTTCCCGTGGACAGTCCGAATTATTCCGGTGGCAACGCGAATGCTTCGAGTCGGACAGACAAGCTGGAGAAGCCTATCGGATCGTTCGCTCCTCGATAGGCTGTGAATAGATTTTATCCATAGGGACGGATGGAGACGAGACACGAGTGTTCCTCGCCGAATTTCTGTTACGCGGGGAGCCCTCCCGAAAAGTGTCTATTGTGACGTTTCCTGACTAGATTCGTCCGATTCGAAGTCGCTCGTCTACCTAGTTGCCTGTCGCCGAATTCAGATCAGCACCACTTCGAACAGCAAGCCGGTCACCGAGACGTAAGTCAGGCGCTACCACGCACCCGAGTCATGATTTTCCGCCTCGTCCGCGTCATGTTCTCTCGGAGGTAATGAGAATTTCTGTAGCTCAATCAGAGCTGTGGAGATCTCCCGGAAGTACCGTAGTAACGGCGACTCGGGAGGCGAGTCTGGAGCCGCCAGGCATACTCATCATACTCCTCTGCTGGTCCTTGAGGCCGAACCACGGTCGGAGGGGTAGATAGGTTTTAGAGTTCCTCTTTCCTCTCAATGACTACTCCGCGCGTGTTCCTCTGCGGCCACCTGAGTGACCGAATCGGCAGTGCGGAATCGGGAATTTGAAATGAATCGTGCGGCCGAAATGCTCGAAGAAGTCATTGAGAGGAAAAAGGAGCTCCAACATAGGCATGCGTCATGAATTATTACCGTTTCAGCCGCCGATATCACCCATCTGGAATCCTTTAATTGTCAGATTCTGAGCTCAGCCAGGAAAACCCCTCGGATATCTTGCCAACGGATCGACTACTTTGTTGGGATGGAAGCGCACCAAAGCACTCGACCAGAAGCCGGATAATCAGAGGATCTGATGCAGTTCTCCGACCCGTGAACGGAATTTAATCCTCATTCACGACCTCGTGCGACCTAGGATCATAGATCTAGTGCGGGAGTTCAACAATGGCGAGCATCCCGATAGAATTGAAAAACACAAGGCTTGTCGAGAGAATCGATTAGTTTAGAATGACTACTTCATATTGATAAGTTTATATCGCTCCGCGTGGATACCGATCTTTAATCCGAAAGGGATGATGGATCCCCGTCCTGATGACATCTCGCGGATGTTGCGCTTGATAACCAGGAGATTATCTGCCTAGCTGAAAACCTAGGATGGCTGCTTCCCAGATTCCAATATGATTGTTAAACGTATTTGACGCAAACCTTCTCACGGGTCATCGATGGAGAAACCTTCCAATGATCATGGACGGGCACGGGAATCCGTAGACACTGCTGTGGGAAGATGCGAGGCAACGCCGGGAATCTCTCCAGAAAGCAGAGATAAGTCCCACGACAGGGAGGGAGGCAATGATCAATAGTATCATAAGCTGTTGTCAATGCAGCAGAATTCGGTCTTCACGGGGGACTCGGAGTCTCATCTACAGGTCCAAGGTAATAGCAGTCGACCTATCTATTTTTTACCGCGATTCTTATGGGAGACTGAGGTCTCAAGACAATATCGATTTTCACGAGAATTTGATCCCTGTAGTCTAAAGACTTGATCTGGAACTTCCTAAGAACCCAGACAAGCAGAATTTTCTCTTCGAGCAACGCGAATTTTTGACCGATGCAGTTCCTCGGTCCTGCGGAGAACGGCACGAAAGCGTACGGATTCCTGTTTCTGGAGTTTTCCGCGGAGAAACGTTGCGGGTCGAACTCGTGAGGCTTCGGGAAAACCTTCGGATCCTCATGGAGCTTCCTGATGAACACAATCACTTCGGTGCCGATCGGAACCGGTTTGTCATCGATGCGAAATTCTTCCGTGACGAGCCGAGCCGCGAACGGAACAGAAGGACAAAGTCTCTGGCTCTCTTTGATGACCATCTCGAGGTATTTCAGCTCCTTGATGTGCTCGGCTGTGACGTCACAGGTGCTGTTTCCCTGGAAAACCCTATCAATCTCTTCATGGAGCTTGGCCTGAACGTCCTGATGGAGTCCGATGAAGTGCAGCGTCCAGGTCAATCCCATCGACGTCGTGTCGTGGCCCTCGAACATAAAAGTATCGACCTCTTCCCTGATGTCTTCGATCGACAGGTTTTGAGTTTTCAGATGCTCCACGAGCATGAGATCGAGAAAAGGTTTTTTGGACTTTGTCATCGCTTCTTCCGCGTTGGAGATCGACTCCAGTATCTCGGGAGTCGCCGAAAGTTCCCTCTTCCGTTCATTGATCACCTGTGTGGTGAAGTCGTGAACTTCTTCGACGATTTTCTTGAACTCACGTCCATCACCAGTGAAGTTGAAATAGATGAAATCAATCCAACTGAGAGGATCGGCGAACCGTTTCACCAGCTGGTGGCTGATTCTCTTGACTTTGTTGAGATAGTCTCGACCACTTCCTTCGAGCTGACACTTCATGTCAATACCCATGATCGTCTCGCACACCACGTCGAGGGTGAACGCCTCGACGTACGGGAGCATGTCTTCATCCGGTTTTTTCCTCCCAATCTGGTCCGCGAAAATTTTCGCCTGGCGGTTCATAGCGTCCGCGAACGTGTCGAGAACCTTGAAATGGAAGGCCGGTGTCAAGAACTTCCGTCGAGACTTCCACTTCGAGCCGTAAGATGTGAGCAGACCTTCGCCGAGCCAGGGATCGAGGAGCCGGTACGAGGGTCCTTTTCTAATGTTTTTGCTGTTACCGAAAACTTTTTCTACGTGATCCGCACGATACAGTAGCAGCTCTGGTACCACTCCTATGAAGAGCATGACCCACCCTTCAGCGGGACGACTCGACGCCTCGAACAGCAAGAAGTTCGTCAGATGTGTATCATAGCTGCCACAATGCTTCGAGATTTCCAGAAGAGAGAGGTGCACACCGATGTAGCGTAAAAGGGGAAACGGATCTCTGACACAGCTGCGAGCGAGAGCGCTTCGGCGGAACGGCAATTGGCGCAGATACACTACAACGAGCAGTAAAATGAAGGCGACTATGAAACCGAACAAGGAGAAGGCCAAGAATCGCAGGAGCGGTAGGCACATCCAAATCATGGTGAACTCTTGCTCGGGAGTCTCCCGGAAGAAAAACACATTCAAACGCGTCAATTGAGAGCCCGCGTCGCACTTTCCACCGAGCTTATCATTTTGTGAGAGAGATGAGAGACAACACCTGAAAGGAAGAGTAGTCTACGGCACGTGGCAAGGTCTCGATCCCTCGAGTTTTCGACCTCGTAATAGTTGGCAACGCTTTTGCGGCCAGGAGAATTTTCCAGGCAAATTGGAGTCCACAGTGTTTTTTTCTCGGACAAAGACCTTCGACGAGACGTCATCTGCCAAAGGCGGATGCCCTTGGGCGATACGAAGCGACGATGTCGGAGAGTCCTACCCAATGCGGTTGTTGGAGCAAACGGACTCGATGATAATCGATCTCGTCTTTTTTTGGCGAATCGAGGGACTCACTTGAGCTTGACCCTCAGGCCTCTATAGCATCAATGATGGGTCCCGCCGGGAGCTATCTCGTCAGTTCGGAATATCGAAACGCTTTTCGAGACGGCTCAGTTTGACATTCATCGCGCAAGATTATCTCCGCTCTGCCAAAGGCTATCGATTATATTTCCCATCCATGAGTCACAGCTTCAGCGTCTATTTCGAGCGTTCGAAAGGGGATATACCGATGGGGTACATTCCAGCGAGAGCTCTGAATCTTCGATAGTTGCTGCGAAGAGTTTCCAGAGAGTCCTTTGATAAATAATTCGCAAGAAAATCGTGGAAGGAGAAATCTCCTCTTTATTATCCGCTGCAGAGTACCGATAATAGTTTGGTCCTAGGCGGCGCTCGAGAACTTCTCTTTTCTAGCCGAGAAAATCACACGTACCGGCGAATCTGGCCGGAGAACCATCTCCAGGGGTACAGGGATTTCGTCTCTGTGATCTAGCGATTTGAGAGAATATCTTCTCAAGATCCAGACCAGGAGGATTTTCTCCTCAAGCAACGCAAACTTCTGTCCGATGCAGTTTCGCGGTCCCGCCGAGAACGGGAGATACGCGTATGGATTTCTATCACGGCTGTTCTTGGTAGAGAATCTGTCTGGGTCGAACTCCTCGGGTTTGGGGAAAACATCTGGATTCCTATGAAGGACTGAAGTGTAAATAATAATTTCAGACCCTACGGGCACGGGTTTATCCTCGATGTGGATTTCTTCGGTGATCCGTCGACTGAAGAGAGGTACCGATGGACAGAGACGTTGACTCTCCTTCAGTACCATATCCAGATACGTAAGCTTCTTCAATTGTTCATCTGAGACTTCCGTACCGTCCTCACCGCCGAAGCGATCGATCTCCTTCTTGAGTTCCTCCTGCACCTCCGGATAGTAGCCGATGAAATGCAGCGCCCACAAAATCGCTGTCGATGTTGTGTCGTGACCTTCAAACATGAACGTGTCGACCTCTTCTCTGATGTCATCGGTGCTAATAGAGCCATGTTTCAGATGCTCCACGAGCAAAATATCGAGAAGCGGTTTCTTAGAGTTGAGCATGCTTTCCTCGCACTCAGCGATGACATCGAGTTTTTCGGGGTCCCTCAAGAGCTCTTCCTTCCGATCCTTGATTATTCCCGTGGAAAACTCGTGCAGCGTCTTCACAGCTTTGAAGAATTGTTTCCCGCTCTCGGTTCTCCGGAAAATGAATTCACACCAGCACGGGAAGTCTGTGAATCTCTTCACCAACTGTTTCCCAACGAATTTAACAGTGGCAAGATACTGTTGACCGTTGTCAGATGTTTGGCAGTTCATGGAAACGCCCATTATCGTTTCGCATACCACATCCAGCGTGAAAGCTTCGATGTACGGCGCGATATCTTCATTTTGCATTTTCTTGGAGATACGCTCGACGAAAAGCGCAGCTTGCTCATTGATCGAGACCGAGAACGTCCGCAGAACTTTGAAATGGAATGATGAGGTTAGGAGTCTCCTCCGAGACTTCCACTTCGTGCCGTCTGATGTCAGCAAGCCGCGACCCAACCACGGAACGATCATATCGTACAAGGGACCTTTCTTGATGTTCTTGCTGTTGCTGAGAACTTTTTCGACGTGGTCGGCGCGGAAAATCACGAAGATCGGATGAGAGACGATGTGCTCGACGATAAAACCCCGTCGAATTTTCCGCATGCACTCCCCTAAACACAAGTTTGAGAAAACCACTTCATAACTCAAGCCACTCCAATAACTGCGGATCATCGACAAGTGCCACAGAAGGTAGCGGATGGTCGGGAAAAGGTCCTTCACGTGCTGGAAAGCGTAAATTTTCCCTCTGACAGGCCACTGCATTAGGGGAAGCACCACCATAGTCACCAAGACAAATAACACGACCAAGGCCAGAGCCACAGTCGAGAAAGCTTTCAAGACGAAGATCAACATCGGATTCTCCTTAAAGGGAATTCCGAATCTGACTGAGATTCTGCCGGCTCCTCAGGAACAATTACTTGGACGATGCGAAAGCGGAGTTTTTTTGTAGTCGACGACATTGCCCAAGCTCCGCTCTCACAACACCCTCGGCGGCTGAAGGAAGCTTTTCCGTCCCAGAAATTTCCGATACGTCGTGTAGAAATGCATACACAGAGCTCATCAAACGGAACGATATCTACGCTCGGCGCTCGGCCCTGATCAAGCATAACACTGTACGGAATCACAAATTCTGGATGGGCTAGTACCGCGGCCATCCGCTCCGTAATCTGGCTCGCTTTCAATCGAAGCATTCGGACAGAAGACAGAATAGTTTTCGTAGCTCATTTCGCAATCAACCCATGATGACTCATGACGGTCACCGTGTAATTCGATCGTCAGTTTCCAGGTAGCGGCTCTATATCCGTAATACTCCGAATTCCGTTTCGCCTATCGGAAGAGACCACAGGGATCAGGTTTCCGAAATACGAGGAGCATCGAAAGTACCCATTTCGGCCACGAAAATCAGCTGTACGCCTGGAATTCCCGGCGGTACTCCACGAGGCAGTGAGATCTGGATAAACTAGAAAAAGGAAATTATTGTCTCGAGGGACTCGGCGATCGCTCACCCTGGGCCTCGACTCGCTGAGCCGGAATTCCCGAAAGATTGTACATCTCTCTCGGAAAATTATATCGATATTCCAGAGAAACAACGAGGGGAGGGGGCAGAAAAATCCTTCAAGCTGAGAACTTGTCGCACCGTCTCGGAATCCGTGGGATGGATTTCCCGGAGTAATGATAATAATTCGTGAGCCAGCATCATCTCAGGTCTTCAAACTGATATTCATCTTTGAAGCAGCCGACAATCTCTGATCTGGGGCCGCGTCGATGAGCTCTCGTTTGCCTGGGTATTTCTCAATATGCTTGAGGGAGATTCCCCAAAAAAGAAAAACTAGCGCCTGACTAAACTTCCCGTCGCATGGAGCGGATGGCCCGTTCTTTCGGCGATCCTCCGGGCCCGAGAGTTTTGTTGCAAAGGTGCCAGTTTACGTGACGGTTGGTCGTGGGGAGTCGTTTCTGCCTCTCCCCCTCTGCCTCATGTCGTTCTTCTCAATCACAACCTGTGGCTCCACGATCACGGTGTCCTGTCCTAGATGAGGAATCGATGGGCGATTTCGCGTCGGGAGGAATCACCAGCGACATTTCTCTACTTATTATCATATGAAGTGCTATCAGAAGCGGAGCTCTCTTCGGAGACGCTGCATATTCATATCAGTCGAGTCTCGCCGTTGATACATCAGAATATTCCGTCTTCAGATGCTACCTTGAGCTCGTTCCGCAGACGGAAGCTGTCGGAACCGATGAAAGTTTCATTAGGAAAACCACTTCTTTCATCCGTTCAGCAGACTCACCACTCCCGAGAAGTTTTTCGAAGGCGCTGCGGTTTCTCAGATTTCTCCTTAGGGAGGAAGCTGACGGCAATAATTATGAGTTTTACACCTCATTTCCTCAAGAGTTCTGGGGAGCCGACCCTCGCTAAGGTTCTCCGCCAAGTGCACGGGCTAGCTGCCTGCCTCCTTCGGGTCTTTCATGACCAAGTGAAATCGAATTCCGCACCGGTTGAATGACAAGAATTGCGAATTCTCCTCTACTGTGCTGTGAATATGTTATCCGAACCCGCTTCGCACAGAACCCTTTCAGGAAATTACAAGGAGGAGACGGAGCCCTCCGCTTTGGCTCCTCTCCAAGACTCCGAGGAAGGAGTGGAACAAGTCTTTTTCCCTTGTGTTTTGCGGAAAAGTGTTTAATAACAGCTTGCGCTTCCCCAACGTTCCTCGCAGGCGAATAAAAGACGGTCTCTCAGAGTCCGCCCGCGGTGATAAGAAACTCGGATACTTTTTCCATGAGTCCGCGATTACAATCCACGACCGTTCGACGGAGGGCGCGAAATAGGAGGGTGCTTTCCCGAAGAGAACTTGAAGCTCATAATTAACGCCAAAATTAGGCTGCGCTCAAATTCATGGAAGTACCAGATGAATGACCAATGGACCGACACGCTTCCCTGCTCTCGAGGCGGAGCCAGCCTCTGGGCTGGCGTCCCGGTAATTGATTGAGAGCGAGGGATTGAGTTCCCAGGTTCTTTCTGTCCCTCTGGAGGATAAAGGTTGGGAATGGGACTACCCCTCAGGCTAGAGTTCGAGATACATTCGATATTAGTTCGAAATATGGAGAGAGATATGGGAAATCAACCCTCTGATCCTGTCTTTTCCACGAAGCGGTCTTGAATGGAGTTCCGATTTAAGGCAATAAGGATGGGACTCGGGTGAGTGACGGATCGATGTCGAGTCGCTGACGTGACGGCTCCCGCGGACTGTAAACCGTCTCGATCTGGTTACCATCCGGCCTCCGAGCTTGGCGGGACAAACTTCGATTCAGAATTAAGTTCGGAGACCCCGGTTCTCCAAATATTGGCTGCACGGATATTCGAAGAGCAGCTCCAATTCATTTGGGCGGTGGGGAGAACAAATTAGTCAGGGGTCGCTTGACCGGAAGATTTTCAGGAGATGGGTTCAAGAAGGGGAAAAATAAAGACAGCGAGACTCCTCGTTGAGTAAACATTATATAGCAGCCGGAGTAGCGGCGGCAACAGCAATAATGAATATCTGAAGAAGCTCCGAACACGAAACGCAGAACACAGGGTGGGCAGAATTCGAGCGGAGACGATCCGCCGGAGTAGGAGGGAATGTCGCCCTTTTCAAAGGATCCGTTCATACCGCCTGGGAGGAGTAGGTTTCCCACCACTTATTCCATTCCCGGGGAGCCGGCTCGCGTCATTGTACAGAATTAGAATTTTCGCGATACCGGCTGGTATATCCTTCAAGCCGATCGTGATATCTGATCGGGGGAGATGGAATCGTACCTTCTCAGCCGAAGTATCATCAGAAGCTCGCTAGTTGTCGACATGGGCTGTGCGATTGGTGAATGCGTTTGATACACCCTGTACTCGGGCTAGCGTGACAGCGAGGGTATAGTAACGGTCGGTGAGTCCGCCTGTCCGTCTGAATGACTGGAGGCTGACCGGGTGAGCCGCTTGCCGACGGAACGACCGAGGATTCATCGACTAAGTGATCCCCCACCGAAGCAACTTCTCCATATACTTCGATGTCCTCACCCCCGTGGGCTGCTTCGCGCCCCGCCCCAGGCCGAAGTCTCAGCTTGATGGGCCGTAAGTGATTCGGGCCCTGCACCGCATACGAGTCTCCTTGGAGCTCTGAGAGATTTCCAACCGGATTCAGCAGCCCGTGCATCCCGCCGCGAGAGCAGACCCTCCAAGATGTTTCCCATGAATGGCATCTGATCGAAAATCTCCCACTCGAGTCCCGATACCCCATCCCATGTGCAATCGAAGGCGTCTTTCGGAGCACAATAATAGCGGAGAAGCGAGCGATGTCATTTTTTCCATCATCGAACTGGGAGGTATCCTCCGATAGACATCTTGCTGACAGCCGTCGAACCGAACTGCTTATCTGAAAAATGAGCCGCTCGGCGGAGTTCATTTAGGTATTGGCTGTTTGGAGCACCCCCTTCCACGGTTTCGTTCCGTGGAGAGATAAGTCGCCTCCCCCGCTCTTCGTTTTCAGGTAATCGCATCGTCGGCGTTGTCATTATCATCAATTAGTCCATTTAGCATTAGGGACATCTGCGTCGGCAGATAGGACTGAAACACAAGTCGACCGGGGAGATGGGCGGTGTCGACAAAGCGGCTCTCTGAGGCTTTCGGCCTCCAGGGTCATCTGAGCACATGGCCGCGGCTTAGTTGCCGCGCTTGCTTCTAGAGGGAGCTACTTGCGTCAGCGAAGGAGCTTCCCGCCGAACCGCGAAGGTACCCTTCGAGCTGAGATCGAACATTCCGGTTTGAGTTTCTCTTACTGAATAGGGCGGAACTCGAGTGGTAATTCTATTGTGATTCGGTTTTTTCTTCCCCATCACGTAGGGAGACAGAGATACGAGATCCTACATTGAGCTCGAGTTCGATCGGTCAGCGACCGAGCCAATTGTCGAATTCCGGAATCTGCGCAAAGGACGTCTGATCTCGACGATGTGTCGGCGGGTTTTTATCGGATCTACTGGAAGCGAAGCGTTCACGAATCTGTCACGCTCATGGATGACTGGCTGTGATTATCTGTCAATGGCTCTGTTTCTTGCAGTTATCTTCGGTAATGTGGTAATTCGATGTTGTCGACGGCGGGCGGCGTCACTTGAAGACGTATATCCATTGAGGCCTCGGTCGGCTTACGCATCTCACAGCAGCGCTCCCAGATAAGGGAACTTCGCTGTCGCGGTTACTGATTCTTCTTCGTTCGCTCTCATCGTTCCCTATCTTATCGGCTCGACCACGGCCCAATGAAGCCGAAACTACTGACTCTGCTCTGACTCGCGTTGGGCTCGTCCACATGCTGAAAATTTCGTGTTTTTAATCCTTCTGGCGAGGTATCCGGCGTTGCCGCCGATCGGCCGAATCGATCTGATTGAAAGCCCAGGTGTCGACACAGCCAAATCGGCGATCGGTTCAGATCTGTGGAAGCCCTGAGATGCATTCCGTTCTCTTCGAGTCGCGGGGGCAGAATCTCTTCGGTCTCCATTGGGACCGAGGACCTTGAGCTTTTCCGCAGAAATTCGTCCCTATAGTCGCTTTCTGTGATTGAATGAATTCATGAATGCAACGTTCCTGGCAAGAACGATTCCCATTGTGTCTTTGTGTCCTTGCTGAGTTTCCTCTTCCGTCGAGTAGTTCTCCACTCCTCCGAACGTCTGATGACGAGTCATTCAGGTGGGGGAGCTCCAATGCCGGACGCTTGGAGTCGTGCATTCGTCGACGAATACGTGATTTTCCATTCATCGGGTAAGCCGTTCGGCGAATCGAGAAAGCCTCCGACTGCGAGAGAATCATCCAGTATCGTCCGTTTCCTTCCTTCAAAGCCCCCTATCCCGACGACCACTGCGATCATCATCATTACCGGAATGATTGCAGAGTTTGGCGAGCGTCGGGAATCTGTTTGTTCGCTTCTAATAGCTGAGTGAGGTTTGACTGTTCCTTTTCAGAAGCCACATGAGCTCACTCTTCGTGGGCAATGATTCGGACCAAACTCAGTCAACTGTGAGACAATGACGGTAACCAGATCGTCGTCGACGAATATAAGCGCAACGATGACCACTATCGGGAACAGCCTCCGTGAAATGCATACTGAGCAATAAAATCATTAAATGGTGGCTAGGCATGGCAGTAATAAGAACAGAAGGAAAATAGAGATTTTCCGCGCCGCGAGCTCTCTGGCGGCAGACCATCATCGACGGAACTTGCATTATTTCGTTTCGCTGAGACGTTATTCGCTAAGCCGTGAAGAGTTTCTTTTCCGTGTGGACGGGACTCTATCGCTAACTGGCTGGCTGGCTGGTGGGCGTGGGCGGTACAACATGCTGCGATGCCGGCGCTGAGGGCCGTCCTAAGGCTGGAAAGCGCACGCGCATATGCCCAAGCCTTGCTGCGGAAACGGTAGCAACTCAAATGGGCCGGCAACAGTTGCTAAACATTCTGATTATGACGAATCGCCCTTCGGGATATATTATGAGAACTTTCAGGCACCTACACGCTCTGCCAGAAGTAGACTGAAAATACTCAGAAAACGATGGAATCCTGTTGGCCGGACCATGACGGACTGCATACTCTTCCTCTTTCAAGGAATATCCACCATCCTCGCGTCCGACCGAGAATTTTCGGAAAAGAAAGAGAACAATGTAGATCATCAGCGAGGGTTTTCGTTTCATCAGCGGGGAAACAGCACTGCAAACACCTCTCGATGTGTCTTAGGAGTAGCCCGATGATGGATCGGAATGTTTCCGTTCCGAAGGCGAAGATTCCGTGAGAGCATCTCTGCTAAACGCTGCTCCGGCAGGCGCTATTGATTCAAGCGGTCGCGTGAACTCGGATCGGATTTTCGATGGACACCCTCACGACATGACTCTGCAGCGTAAACACATGGCACCGCGTCTTTGCGCTGCCTATTGACTGTTGTCTTAGGTTGCTGTTTTTCTGTGTCGCAGTGACGAGCAGATTTTGGGAGCTTCCCGCCCCTTCCGGAACACCTGAGGTTCCGGAGCGAGACCAAACGGAGCGCAAGCGCGCGATTACGCCTGAGGCTCCGGAGCATATTCCGTTGCCGACAGAGAAAATTCTGCGCTCGGAGACCGTCCAGGGGAGCTCGGATACGAGTCGGACTCTGAGGAGTCGGGAAGATCTCTTCGCTTCCTGTAAGCTCCCTTCAGAAACGAGAGCGATCTGCAGGAGAGAATGTCTCATGTACGCCGATTTTTTCCTTCGATATAAACTCTATGTATGTATATCTGTACGGAAATGTCGACGTTGTAGGTTTCCTGACCCCGTTCGTCCCGCAGGTGTGAGAGGCCGTCGACGGCTTTGCCGTCTGTGTCGTTGCTGTCGTCTCTTCGTCGACGTCTTCGTTGCAGACCCGGTCGCCGTCATGAATCAAACATCTGCACGATGATTCGATGCGGAGACGGACGATGCGGTTTCGGTGTGCTGCTGCATCTGCCTCCCTTGCCATGCGGCGGTCGAGAAGCCAAACCGTCGAGAACGGAGCTCGCGACCGCTTATCGGTTTCGGATTTGAGTTTTCGGTTTCCAGTACCGTATGTGTTCTCATGCTGCATTCTCTGCCGCTGAGGATCGAAGATTACTTGTTCCTGTCGCAATTCTTTACATTAGGCCGGTTTCCGCCGTCCGGAAGGGGGAAACTAACGGGGAGCAAAAGTCACAGCAATCAGATCAATCAGTCAGTCAAAGGGAGAACGCGACGAGTCCATCGACATGAGTGGAGATGGGTCGACACAAGAGGATACCGTGGCGCGGCCGACGGAACGACTTCGTATTTCTGCTGTTGTTGGTTCGTCTTCGTCGAGCGCTCCTTCAGCTCGCTTGCTCACTCGCTTACTTGTTGCTAGTCGTCGTTGGAGAAGACGAGGCGGTGGCGGCAGCGGCAGCAGCAGAAACAGCTAATGATGATTTGTCGTGAGCGACCGCCTAGTGAACATCGCCGAAAGACACAAGACGATCTTTCTGTTGGCTGACTAGCTCGGAGGGGGCTGCTCCCACTTTCTTACAGACGTCTTCCTCTGCTGCCGCAGCCTCTTCGGATCGAGTTCCTCCGAGATGAGACAAACTTCAACCGCCAGCCTGCTTTTCGTTTCGCAGCCAGCTCGACCGGCAGCTCCCTCGAGCGGTTGGCGACTCCGTCAACTGCAAACT